GCCTTCTGTGACTCAAGGGAACCCGAGATGCCCGGAAGGAACGGCCGGTTGCTTCGTGCTCCGCCCGGGCCTTCGCCGGATCTCCTTTGTGTCCCCAGCCAAGTGTGCCCGGCCTTGGCGGTTTTAGGCTCCCCTCAGTGGGCGGCTTATTTTTACTTAATAAATTAGGGAGCATTTCATAAAGGGAGAAGTGATTTAGAGTTAAGTCCACCCTTACTTTTAATCGTACTTAATAATTGGTTTTGAAATGGTTAAGCAGTTAAGCTGACAATCAGTACTGGTCTTGTTAGTATAGCTAATAGTCGGCATTTGTGCCTGGATCTTCCGTTGTAAGTATACCCTAAACATGAGGCATTGAAGCTGGAGAACAATATGTGCAAGTGTAGAACTCCCTTAGTTGTTAGTTACTATTATTAGTTATTAGTAAATGCCTGCTATACATGTAGATGTTGCGTTTACATAGAGATGTGTATTTCTAGACATAATAAAGAAAGGGGTCAACAACTGGGAGACTACAAGAGCATGTTACCTATACCAAAACAAACCATACAAAATGAATAGCTTGTCGATGAGACAGTATATTCATGTTTTTTTTTCTATCCCCCAAATTGGAAATACATTGCTTCATCTGGAACAATTTAATACTTAATAGTTAACTGTCAACAGGACGAATATGATGACTTAAAATATTTTAATTTGGTATTAGATTCATCCTTATTTTTGAGGCGTAAGAGGCTTGAGTCCTGTGTTTCTTGCTAAGTGTTGGTATTTTTTTAATTTCCTGATATTTTTATAAAAATACTTGTAGTGCACAGAAATTTTGAAGCATAATAAATAGAAAATAACCCACCAATCCATTTAAGAACTATTGTATTACTAATACCATAGTATTTATTTACTTCCCTGTCCCATTCCATGGTCCCACCATCTGAAATTTTGTGTCCATCAGTCTCTCTTCTTGGGTGGGGAGTGGATGGAAAGCAGTTTATTATTATACGTAGGCATTTCTAAACTTTCATTTCCTTAAGCTTTATAAAAATGTGATTATGCATGTAGTTGTCTAGTTCCCGTGAATCATAATATTAAATCGAAATTTTCCAAATTGTAATTGTTCATAACCAATAGTTAGTATACCTAATATTGATTTTGTTTGCAAGGTCCAACTTTATATGTCTTCATAAATCATTTCCAGTAGCTCTCCAATGATTTATTCTCTTGGGGTGTTGTAGGACATGATCTGTAGCCCTGGCCATGCCCTTTGCAGTACCTAAGTCTGTTTTCAGTCAACTTGGGCCTTACTTCTACAGGACTGTATCCAATAATGATGCCAACAAAAAGTATCACTGCCTCAAAACTACCAGATTTGCCATTGTACTGTTTTTAGGTGAAGGTCTGCACACTTGTTTTTACACATCTGACCTTTAACCTGGCTCATAGCTCATCCTTGTCAAGCTTTAATACTGAAAAGTAATGGATGGGTACTTGTTAGAACCATTGTGTCTCAAAGTCAGTACTGTCAAAATGAAGGATATTGTAAAATGTTTCCATCATTTTTCCTGCCAATGCTAATGACTCCCATTTCCAGCTTGGAAAGAAGCTCATTTATGGAATTATTAGGACCTAATCAGTTAAAAGGCACTAACATTCAAATCATTAGATATTTTAAATTCTGGACTTGTAAGTTTTAACTACCAAAAAAGAATTAAGCAAGAAGTATATTTATTCCATTAGATATGTATTGAACAACAGAATAGTATTAGTGCTTTTTAGTAAAAAGTGGGTTGGGAGTCAGAAACATTGCAAGTAGGGCTGTGTTTATGGTTCCTGATAAGAATGAAATTCTCTTATTGGACCATCCTACATATAAGGTGCTAAACAAATGCAAGTACAAATGAGAATTCACAATGAAATATTTTAATTTCCAGGTACAGCAAAGTCTATGTGTTTTGAAGATGTATGAAGGTTGTCATGACAGATGTTTTCCAAAAACTTGAAGTAGACAAACAAATGCAAGTACAAATGAGAATTCACAATGAAATATTTTAATTTCCAGGTACAGCAAAGTATGTGTTTTGAAGATGTATGAAGGTTGTCATGACAGATGTTTTCCAAAAACTTGAAGTAGAAGATGGCTAAGAAACAACTGGGAACTCCACTGCATGTAATCAGGTACCAAAAAAGTTCACATTCCAGTTTTGTGCATTCTTTTGTCTTCGTGGTATTACTAAAGAGCAGTACCCAAAATGTTTAATATGTTCTTAATAACTGGCACAATGATGACAAATTACTTTTTGCCGTTTACCCAGCTGAGCGTTTCTTTGAAGAAATAATTTTAAGACTGAGATGCCAGTATCTATATTGATGTGAATAATTGAAATGTAGTACAGTTCATTAAAATAGGTGAAATGTTCTTTTTTTTTCAGCATATAGGTAGCTGTAGGTGAACATTCAAGTCCTTTACCTGTGGTGTTTAAAAGTACTTCGCTGCCTCAAGTGAGTAATTATGGTTTGTCAAGCAAACACATCTGTTGGTAGTTCAGAATTATTTGATAAACCCCAAAGTGCTGGGGACAGTTCCTTTTGAAGTTGCCCTCTCATGTCAGGGGTATTGTTTCCTTTTCTCAATATTAATTTTTTGAGGGGTACTTATGAATATCGAGGTTATATGAGAACTTCATTTTTTTTTTTGAGTTTGAGTGTGGAATGATTTTTACTGTTTTCTGTTTTTGTTTTTTTTTTTTTTTTTGGAGGTGTGGCACGCATCATTTTTGGAGAGAAATGAATTGGTCAAGAAAACAGATGAACAGAGTAAAATGATGAAAATTAATTAATATTTTATTTGACATTGATAACCTCACAATAAATAAATGTAGAAAAATACAAGTTTGACTCTTGACTTTTATTAATTAAATTGCTGGACAGTGAAGTCTGTTTTCTTTAAAATATATCAGGTCTTTTAAAGAGCTCCATTCTCACTACAGACAGTTCCCGACATAGTAGTTGGTCTTAATGATTTTTCAACTTTGCATTCGTTTTATTAGGACTATCATAAGTCGGGGAGCATCTGTAGTCAGACCTGGTTTTAACATACTTTAAGGATATAATGTTCTTGTCGATAACTAGCTTATTTGTGGATGGTGATTTTCATTGAGGCAAGCAACTGGGGAGACATTGCTCCAATTTTCCTTTCTAGCCTTTCTGGAGAGGTCCTAATCACTGCATCTGCATAATCACCTCCCCTTCATATACTGCTGTTGTACCTGAAAAACAGGTGGTTGGAATCTCATGAACCTGGAGAGGTCCTAATCACTGCATACTAGATATCACCTCCCCTTCATATACTGCTGTTGTACCTGAAAAACAGGTGGTTGGAATCTCATGAACTCCTTAATGCTAAGTAGCAAATTACCCATTACAGGTAAAGTTTTCACCTTTCTGTGACCAACAGATTTTATTTAAAATTAAGTTTTGTTCTTTAATTTGCTTTTTATTTGTGAACAAAAAAGTAATGCTATCCTAGTGCATGTAATAACTGGCAATATGCTATCTTATGAAAAATACTGACTGGACAGGCCGGGAGTAAAGAATTAACAAGAATTCTAAAATAACTGAATTCCTGCCTGGATGAAGGCTTAAATTTAGCTAAATCTTTCCCCCTGTTGAGTCATAGCTTATAAATTCCTTGCTTTTATTTGTACATGTTAAGTCAAACAGTATAGAACTCGTACAGCAACATCTCTAAGCATTTCCCATCAGAAGCAACATTTAAAAGACATTTTTTTCTCCCAGTGATTTTAGTCTTGTTCCTTCATCAGAATCTTGAATGGAGGCTACTGTATGGATCCTAGTTTTTAAAATAGGAATATGTTTTCCTTCACCCCACAGAGAACCAGAAGAGTTTGAAATACAGTATAAGAAAAATCACCAAATAAGGGTATTAACAAAATAGAATTGTAACAGGTAAATATTTTGTTGTTGAAAGCAAGCTCTTCTGAAAACTACTGTATGATCTGTGGCTCTAGTAGAGAAAGAAACTCGAATTTTTGTTGAATGACTAGGAAATAAAATAGTGATTTCTCATTGCCCTATAGAATGGGAAAGCTATATAGCTTTATCGTTGAGAAGCTCTATGAAGTGCCGATTTTGAAAGAATCTTTGTTTATAAAGGTCAATATTGTGATGACATTTTGCTTTTCAGTGAGTAAAATTAATCTTTTATTAAAGCTATGGAAATCAGGAACTACATAGGATTAAAGAAAGATATTTTCTCAAGATGTCACTACCTTTTCACAGCCAGATACCTTCCCTTCAAAAATGAAGACTGGGTTTGCAAAGTGGTTTCTTTGCTATTTGGAACCTTTCTTGTAACCAGTTAGAGTTGAAGAACCAATTTGTAAATTATTGGTTCCTTCATTCCATGCAAATTTTTCATTTAACCTGGCATATATAGAACATTTCTAAGCCTTTTCCTAAAGGTGTTTCTAACAGCATATATATAATGGACATGTCAATATCTAATAAAGCATGAAAAGGCCTTTCATTTGAGGCTTTAGGTTATATAAATTACAGTTAATTACTAATCAGTTTGGCAGGTGCACAAATGTAAGAAAAATTAGGTAAAATAATTTGTAGATAAAATGTTATTGCCATCTTATGACAAAAAGAGTGAACTACATAACTTACCATTTTTCACATTGCTTAGATTGCAACATTTGTGTTTTAACATGGTATACTGAGCTAATGAGAAGTCTTTATAGGATTCTTCTTGGCAACTTCGTCATTTTAAATTGTCCACATTGTCATACTAAATTTTAAAAAATACTGGTTTTAGAAGTTTGGATTAGTGTTTATCCTATTAGCAATTAATATTTTTTTAAATGGCATTCTAATTATTATGCACAGTAGTATCTAAAGAATTACTTCAAAATCACTCTCAAATACTCACACTTTTTCCCATTGCTTAAATAAAAAAATGAAGAAAAAAAATTTCCTTAAATTAGTTATTCATCACTAGAGAAAATAGCTGGCCCAGGTCCATATGTGGCAATAAACTGTTGGAACTGTTGTTGGCATTGAGTCAGATATAGATCCCTTTGCTCTAAATATTCTTCGTTATACAGTTCAAAAGGAAATACTGCATTTGGAGCAACACAAAATACAGTGGCCCCTAAATGAAGAAGGAAATAGTGTAAGTGAGAAATATTCTTTAAAGTAGGAAATTAAATTTTCAACCAGAGTACTCTAATGAAAGTTTTAAAATTAAGTTCTGACCTATTCAATACGGTATTTCAATAATCATTATCTAAATCTGACTTTCTTTTGTTCTTTTCTTTTTTTGAAACTCAGGAAGTGGGTTCAATAAACATATAAATATTGTTACCAGGGCCAGACGAAATATGCTGATGTTTAAATTTTAAAGTTTGGAAAGTAGAAATTTGTCATCTACAAATAGTCGTCACAGTGATGGATGGTGGTGATGGTTGCAAATAATGTGAATGTACTTAACACCACTCAACTGTACACTCAAAAAATGGTTAAAATGTATGTATATTTTTCAACAATTAAAAAAAGACATTGACTATTACTGTAGGAGTTAAGCTCTCATTGTTTCATTCACTGATTCATTGAATGAATGTGACAGGCCAGGTGTACAATAACCAGCCAACCAGTGCCTACCTTCCTAGAACTGTCACAAGTAATTGCTACAGACTTCTGTGACTCCTTTTACCACTTGACCTTACCTGAAACCTTGCTGGCCTTGAGGATACTACTTTCCTTGTGGATCTCTAAAGTGAAGCTCTTTCTCAAACACCTCACATGTGTTAGTGTCACAAGAGAGAGTCAATGCCTTGCTTGCTACCAGACCGTTCTTTCCCCTGCTTCCCTACTGGTAAAGACCCTTGCTCCTTTCATGCTCAGTACCACCTGGCTTTATCACTCTTTCGCCTTTCACAGTGATGTCAACCGCCCACTCACAGCACTTGGCTCACAATCTTGCTCTCTTCCCTAATACCTGCCATTCAGTGATTTCCATGTGAATGACCCACTTAACTCCCGACCTCTCTGTGTCCTACCTCTTCTCCACCTCAGCCACAGATTCTCAGTCACAGGGAAGTGATATCACCAGATAACTTTTTCAGTCATGAGTTCCAACTTCAAAACCAATTCCCTATGCTACCTCCTATGCTTCCAGCTCACTTGCTCAAATGTGCCAGGTCTTTTACCTCTGAGATCTCCAATCTGCTTCCTCCAATTCACTTCCCTCTTTAATTAGGGTTAAAGTCCCTCTACTCCCTTGCCCTTCTGTGACACTCTGCCACACTCAACTATTGAAATCTCAATTCTGCGTGAACCCCATTCACCTTGTGCCTGCACTCAGGCTTCTACAAAGAAAATCACGTGACTCATTTCTTGTTTTCACTTTAAATGAATCAATAACTTCTAATAACTGCCTGGCAACCCTGCTGAGTTCCCCTAGGACACTTGCTCTTCTATCATCCACAATGACTATTCCATTTTTCTCTCCTCAAACCTTTCATTTTTCAGCTGATGACCTTCAGTAAAGTATATGACCAAATCTACAAACCTACCTGATTCTGAATACATTTTCTTCCCTCCTATAAAATGGAGAGGTGACCCTTCTGTCAGAGGCTAATATGTTCACATGTGTTCTGGGTTCCAACCCCTTTCACCTTTGTGTGTGTGTATGAGATATTCAAATCAGGATAAATACTGTATTTATCATTACACAATGTAGTCATTTTTTGTGGCCCTTTACCAATTTCTCACTAATCCTCAACTTCCTCCCTCTAACCTTTTTAAAGGACTTCACTTTGATCTTCTCTTCTTTCTGTAGTATCATTAGTTTAGTTTCTGCTGCATGTAATATGATTTATTACCGTCCATCTAAAAAAAAAAAAAAAAAAAATCCCTTCCTGGACCATTCATCCTTCTCCAACTAGTACACCATTTCTTTCCTCATCTTCATAGTCAAACATGTCAAAATTGTCTATATGTGCTGTCTCCATATCCTCACCTCCTACACCCCTCCACTGAAATAACCCTGATAATGGCCACCTACAACCTCTAGGCTACCAACTCTAATTGTACTCATTCTCAGTAGCATGTGATACAGTTCACCCCTCCGCTCCCTTCTGGAAACACCCCCCTTTCTCGGTTTCTGTAATACCACACTTGATTTTCTTCCTACATTCTAGGTGCTGCTTCTCAGTTTCCTCTATTACTTCCTCTTCCTCAATCCCTTTACCAATTTCTCACTAATCCTCAACTTCCTCCTCCCTCTAACCTTTTTAAAGGACGTCACTTTGATCTTCTCTTCTTTCTGTAGTATCATTAGTTTAGTTTCTGCTGCATGTAATATGATTTATTACCGTCCATCTAAAAAAAAAAAAAATCCCTTCCTGGACCATTCATCCTTCTCCAACTAGTACACCATTTCTTTCCTCATCTTCATAGTCAAACATGTCAAAATTGTCTATATGTGCTGTCTCCATATCCTCACCTCCTACACCCCTCCACTGAAATAACCCTGATAATGGCCACCTACAACCTCTAGGCTACCAACTCTAATTGTACTCATTCTCAGTAGCATGTGATACAGTTCACCCCTCCGCTCCCTTCTGGAAACACCCCCCTTTCTCGGTTTCTGTAATACCACACTTGATTTTCTTCCTACATTCTAGGTGCTGCTTCTCAGTTTCCTCTATTACTTCCTCTTCCTCAATCTCATTTATAAATACGGGAATTTTCAAAGGGAAGTGCTGGAATTTTTTCTAGTCTCTCCGTAGGTGATTTCATCCATTCCTTGGCATTGAATACCATCTCTTCACTGATGACTCCTAAATTACATTTCTAGGTTAGAATTCTAAACTCCAAATTTTTTTATCTGTCTATTGATATCTCTGTAGGATGTCTCCAACTTACACTTATAATTTGATTTGTTTTCTCCCAAACCTTTTTCTCTCTTCCCAGTTTTGGTAAATGGCACCATGACCCATCCAGTTGCTCAAGGCAGAAACCTGGGAGTTTTCCTTAATTCTTTCCTTTTCTTACCCCTTCCCCATTCCTAAATTCAGTTCATGAGTGCACCTATTGGTTTTTTCATTCAAGGTGTATCTCTAATTCACTCATTTCTCTCCATTTTATTGCCTCTACCTAGTCAAAGCTCCCGTGGACTACAATAACAATTTTCTAACTGGTCTCCCTCTCCACTCCCAACCTCCTCCAACCCATTCTCCCTACCAGCTTCAGACAGTGCATATTTTCAAAATATAATTGATCACATCAGTCCTCTCCTTAAAACCTTTCAGTGGCTTCCCATTGCACTTGGAATACAATCTCAATTTTCTACCATGGTCTGTGAGGCCCTGTAGGATCTGGCCCTAACTTTCCTCTCCAACCTCAACTAGTACCATTCTCGCCTTTGCTTACTATGTTTTAGCCATCCTGGCCCTCTTTTTGAAAGCACATGTACATGTGGTTTCCCTCTACCTAAACTTCTCACCCTTCAGGTATCTGCTTAAATAAATATTGCCTCCTCAGAGAGGTCTCTCTAAATACAGTCAAAGTCAGTCCCTTCTATTGTTCTTTCTCCAACATCCAGTTTATTTTCTTTGTAGCATCTATCTCAATTCATATTATATATTTATTAGTGTATTTACTTTTAACTGTCCTCTCACTGGAAGCTCCACCAGAGTAGAGACTGTGTCTGCTTTTTTCACCACTATATGTCTAGTACCTAGCACCTAGTTACCACTAAGTATTTCCTGACTCACTGACTGAATAAAATGACTATTCGTGGTTTGGCAGCTGGTGGGTACAGGGATCTGAAACCTTGACCTTGGTATTATAACACCAAGTTCTAACCAACTGAACTAACTGGCCAGCCCGATTCTTTTTTATATATGCTGAGTCTGTGGTTATTTCCCATTAATCACTGCTTATTTTGTACATCTGTAGTTACTCCATTTTTTTTCCAGACTAGGTTGGCCAACACTTTAACTCATTGTTTTCTTTTGTTTGTTTTTTGGTGGCTGGCTGGTAAGGGGATCTGAACCCTTGACCTTGCTGTTATCAGCACCATGCTCTAACCAACTGAGCTAATGAGCCAACTCCCTAAATGGAACATTTTAGTTTAATGGACTAATTATATTTAAGTTTAAATAAGGTTATTTGTAGTGATTATTAATAATTTAATACATTACCATATTTCAATGTGAGAGATGTTTCAAATACTAAGGCTGCAATTAGTACATCTTCTTTAAGTACTTTATTCCGTAAGTTTAGTCGAGCATGGGCTTCAGATAAGGAAACTCTAAAAAAGAAAATTGATGCCAATCAAAATATGTTGATATTACAAAAATAATATATATTTTGGCGGGAACAAACCAAGATGTATGTGAATATTAGGCACACTTTAAAGATCAGCATATTCTTTTTAAAATGTTTTAGTTTCTTTTCAAAGCATTTTTTCCCACCAACTTGAATAGACTGTTCCAGAACAAGGAAGTATCCTGACTTATTATCAAAGAGTTGATTTCCATCTTGGCTTCTATTTATCTTTCCACATTTCCCTCCCCAAGTTCTGCTCAAAAAAATTAACATTTGGGAAAATTAACCTATCTCTTACAGACACATCCTTGATGTTTTCTTCCAATTCTTCATCTATATGAAGTTCTCATAGAATCTCGAAATTTCAGTGATGGAAGGGATTGTGGAGTTCAAAGTTCAAACTCCCATCAGATAATTGAATATCCTCTACAACATCCCAGGCTACTCATTATCCAGTCTCTTTTGAACCTCTCCTAGCACTATTTCATGAGGCACTCCATTCCTTTATTTTAAATTTTTAACCAGCTTTGGTTACCTGAAACATTTTTTTACTGCAAAATATTTTTTTTACTACATAGAAAAAAATTATGCTTTCATTAAGCAGACATGAGGTACTTGAATGATTGCTGGACTTGAGAATCAGAAAATGTATGCTGCATCTCCAGAATTTACAAGCTGTGTGATTCAATATAAATCATTTAATTTCTGAGATTTTTTTGAAACAGCTATAAAACAAGGATATTAAGTAAAGTCACTTGAAAGTTTTGCAGCTAATGTACAAAGCTTATATAAATCTAAGCTGAAATTAGTTTCACTCTAATTTCCACCCAAGGGTCTTAACTTCTGGGACTACAGAACAAGCGTAACATCTCTAAAATATGACAGCTCTTCAAATATTCAAAGACAACTTTTATAGTTGCCCCATGTTTTCTTTTCTCCAAGCTAAATATTCCTAGTACCTTTAATGTGTCATGAGACATAATTTTCAGCCTCTCGCCATCCTGGCTACTCTTCTTGTAACCAGATTTGGTTAATATTCCTTTTTAGTACAGTACTACAGATGTGATTTGACCTTCATGAGTCAGAACTAGCATTTTCTTACTCCTGATACACATTTTATTAATGTATCAACCCTAAATCTCAGTATTATAAACAGCCACATTACATTATTTACTCATCTTAAACATAAAAAGAATGAAATCTCAAGTCCTTTTTATGTCTTTTCATATTAAACCACATCAGCCTCTTCTCATCACTTCACACTTGTCCTAGGGAGTTTGGGGATCTAATTGAGGACATTGAATTTATCTATTAACTTTCTTCTTGTTAGCTTAAACTCGTAATTCAAGCCTGTGATGATCTCTCCAAATGTAGCTTATTTAAAAATTTCATTATTATGTTTCTGATGTCTTTATCCAAGTTCCTTCTAAAAATGTTTACCAGGATAGAATATGCATGGAAACATTCAGGGAAAGAGAATAAAGTATTTATTGCTTAGCTCCACTTCTCTAGAAGAGCAAAGATGGTGTTATTAGGTACCTGTCTATAGAAGTGGGAGAAAAATTCAAGGTTTATGACACTTCTGGGTAGTGGTTCATTTACTTCATTATTTCATAAACCCTATTTCCACACTCAGTATTTATTTCTACAATGTGAAAAAGGAGAGTTATCATATTAAAACTAACTCTGCTTTATTTTTGGATCAGTATAGTCATACATAAACTGAGGCTATGTGAGTTTAAATACAAAATATTTTTTACTACAGAGGAAAAATATGAGAAAATAGGACTTTCAAAGCTTTTAAGCAGTATAATTTGATCTGAGTATTTTAAATATTGCTTCAGAAAATAGAAAGCATTATATAATTCTGTTTACCATTTAAAAATATTAAGGAGTTGATTTTTTTTTTTTTTTCTGAAGAGTCAATTTCTAACTTAGCTTAACATTTTTTTTAGCTCTATGAAATAAATATAGAGTTGGGGAAACTAAACATATCCCTTATAGACCTATAGTTGATGTTTCTTGCCAGTCCTTTATCTGTCTTATTTTATATTACAGTTATAATATGATATTTATTTATTTAATGGGTTATTTTACTCCCAGTTCTACTTCATAATTTGTTTAAGATTATACTTTAATACTATGTCAAATGAAGTAATGGTCTATCGATAGGGGACTGTTTAAATTGTGGTACAGCCATATCATACATCACACATCACAGCACAGTGAAACTGATGTAGCTATTAAAACAGAGTGAGGTAGTTCTTTATGTGCATGCATGGTTCCCTTTGGACAAAAACAGTATATCTATATAAAAAAACATATATTTATATGCTTATATATATGTTCATATAACATTCATTTAAAAATGTATAACATTTAAAAATATATATATCATATTTAAATTACATATATGTATATGCTAATAATTGAGTGGATAATTTCTGGAAGGATACATAAAAACTTTTCACCGTGATTATCTCTGGGGAGTAGAGTTGGAATGGGTAAAGTTAGCAAGATACTTTACTCATCATTTTATATTTTTTACAATGTCCACACTTTACTTTTATAATAAAAATTAGTTTCTTTGGGCCGGCCCGGTGGCGCACTGGAGAGTGTGCCGCTTGAGAGCGCGGCGGCACTCCCACCAAGGGTTCGGATCCCATGTGGAGACCGGTTCCCGCTCACTGGCTGAGCGCGGTGCGGGCGCAACACTGAGGGTTGCGATCCCGTTACCGGTCAGTAAAAAAGACAAAAAGGAAAAAAAAATAGTTTCTTTAACTTTTCAAGGAACAATAGTCTATTAAAGTATTTAATAGTACAAGCAACAATATACTTAAGAATTTCTTCTAAGTCCATCTAGGAAATACCTGTAATATAAGCAGCTATATTTGTTACAATAATCATTTTCATTTGAAATCAGTACACTTTTCTCAGACACTTCTCAGACAGGGGATTCAATACAAATTAATTCAGTGAAAATAGTTATTGGAGGTTTTAATAATGTAACAATATAAGAAAAGGAATTGTTAAGCCACCTCAAATTCTTTTGGAACAAAAGATAAATTATAAACCAACCAAGCAGCAAACAAACAGAGAAACAAATAAAATAAAGATAAATAAGTTAATTAAACACATCATTAAAAGTCATTATTGGCTTTAAAGTCTTGAATGGAATACATACAAATATTTTAATGCAGATGCTGACAATTTTGATCCACATATAGAATCTGTTCTGACTCGGCGACTTGCTAAATAATAGCCATGAATCATTCTTTCTGCCTCCAAGCTGAATTCTATGTTCAAATTCTTTGCAAAAGCTAGTAGCTAAATTAAAAACGTGAAAAAATTTAAGAGATTCAAGTTTTATTACAAGATCTGTATAACAAAAAACCGAAGTATATTGACATTTTTTAAAGTTTGCATATTTCTTTACATAAAAACTGAGTAAATATCTGGGGCAGTCCCAAAGAAACTGAGCACTTTAAATCATAGTCTTATACTTGTAAAGATTATTATAGTTTACCTAGAATAACTCCCATGCAGTGCGGAAATGTTCTGTGCAATGTGTTTGAATGACTAATATGTCTTTGCTCACCTCCCTCAGAAGCTCATTTTCCTTTTGAATAGCTTTATTTCTTTGACAGTTTATTTCCTTGCAACTTTCTCTCATTGGCCTTAGAGCTACTTGCCCTGCTTACTTCCCTTCCTTCCTTTTAAAGAACACTTGACTAAACACTTGCAATGAGGGAGGCACTGTGTTAACTACTGTGAAGGTACCTTTGAGATTCATTAAAATTTGGGTAGAGAATAATTCTTCAACACAATGGTTATCACTGTTTTCTGACTTTTGTGGTTTTTTTCTTTCTGACTCAGTGATTTCCAGTTCCTAACTCTTTACTCTATGATGTAATTTCCAAATTTTTCACCATTCTAGTTGTTTTCTGCTTTTTCAACTCATGGAACCAAAAATTAACTATAATAAGGTTGCTGCTATTAACTTTAATTTTTATATTTTAAATATAACATTTAAAAAGTATATGTATATGTCCTAGATTGGATATATCCTACCTTCTTTACTCTCCTTATACTCCACAATTCTCTCCTTCAGAACTGTATAATAATACTATTAATAATATCAATAGCCCTCTCTATGTTCTACACTATTGTGGCATGATAATGTGCCACCTATATCCCCCTTCAGAAAAGAACTTGTTGTCCCAACTACTGTGAGTGATGGCTTCCAGTTGTCAGCCCCTTCAGGGATTGTCTCAGAACAGCCCACATCATATGACCTACTAAGGCAGAAGTGAAGGAGGACTTTATAAAGCCCCTCCATTTTGGTGCAAAGCGGGACAACACCTGGTGGGTCTCCAGAGCTCCCTGTGGAGCCAGCAGAAGTTGACATTGTCCTGTATCACAGCTTGACTTCTCTCTCTGCCTAGTTCCACTTCCTTCTCCCTTCTACAGGTTTTGATAGAAGAGAACTCTGGAGAGCCCAGGCTGCAACAAATTCCATCCACTCTGATTTGTGTGATGAACAGATTTATCTTCCACAGAAAACATTTTTAGTATTTCACTTGCCTAATAAAAGTCTACAATTGTTCTCTACAGTCTGATAAATCAACTATAAACTCTTCTGCCTGAATTTCAAGGCTTACTGTAAGTTTGCTAAATTCCTCTGACTCCATAGTACAAATTTTGTAGCAGTCAAGCTGGTCTTCTCATAGTTTTTCATGTGTACTAATTTCTGCTTTTATATATGTGCTCCTTTTATTTCTGTTTAGAACACCCATCCTTCCTGCCATCTAAATTTTACCTTTTCTTAAAGCCCAAGTAAAAGTCCCACCTCCTCCATGAAGTCTTCCCAACTCTTGCATGCTACACTGATACCTTCCTTTCTGAATTCTTAAAATACTTATAGTTAGTACCACTCAGCTTAGCACTATACATTGTTCCTTAATTGTTTCATGTATCTTGTTTTTATCTCAAGTGATAAACTATTTAAAGAAAGCTTATATTTCTGTGAGAATATAAAAGAACAGAAGTAGGCGCATATATATGAAGTATTCAGTAAATACTTGACTAATTAATAAATCTATAGAGTTTGTTTTTCAGTAAAAAAACTGGCAAAAATTGCTCTGGGTCATTAGTTTGTATTTAGTACCCTTATTCCTAGAGACTAACAACTTTTTCTTATATACTTAAAAACAAAAACTTATTGCTTCATAAATATCATTCTTTTTCTATTCTATATGAATAAACGATATTCATAATTCATTTTTAAGTCCACCTCACCTTTACGCCTTTTACCCATACAATATGCTTGCAAGGATGGCAGGTATGAAAAAACATTTTAGTGACCAATGGACTCCCAATTCTCAATATCCCCTGCCTTTTATCTATCCTACCCAGGTACTTTAGCTCTACTGAGAACAAATTTCTGAATAGTTAAAAGGGTTTCAGTTGTAAATACCTGAGCAACCTTAAGAGTTATGTAATGATTACATCATCTACTCCCAGGTTCTCTGAACATGCCACATATTTTCATAATGTCAGGACATTAATATGGGTTAGTGAGTCACATTAGATTATCCCTAAAGTCAGAACTCTGAAGCCACTCATTTAAAGAAAATACCTTTGAACAGTCTATAAAATGTAAATAACTATATATCTATACAGCCTCATCATAATTTTCTACAGAGATAATTCTATTTTGGTTTTTCTTCTCACTGAGATTATTTAAGGTATTGTGATTTGGACAGTGATTCAAAAAATAAACGTAACATTTTAATATACATTTCCTTACACAGTTGTTTAATTATAATGCTAAATAATTTCTATACAGTGTCTTTAAAATGTTTAAAAGCTGGAAGCAAATTGGAATAAAAGAACACTAAATAAAAAAAATTGGGTGCTCAAAGGAACTTCTATTTAAATTGAGAGACATGAGTACTTGATGGGAGTTTGGATATATCGTCCTTCCAGAACTCAAGTGGAAGTCTGATCCCCAATGTGGCAATGTGGGGAGCTGTTTGAGTAATGAGGGTGAATCCCTCATGAATGGATTAATGCCCTCCCTGGGGGGTGGGAGTAGTGAATGAGTTCTTGCTCTATTAGTTCCCATGAAAGCTGGTTGTTTAAGAGGATCCTGGCATCTCCCCCCTCTCTCTCTTGCTTCCTGTGGGAAAATAGCCTAAGTGATTTATTTTCAAGAATAGCTTAACAAGGGTTGCTTGACTAACTTGTGGTGTGATAACCCCTGAAATTGCTTCCTGTGGGAAAATAGCCTAAGTGATTTATTTTCAAGAATAGCTTAACAAGGGTTGCTTGACTAACTTGTGGTATGATAACCCCTGAAAGTACAGTTTCCCAAGGGTGACTTCTCAAGATCGTGGCTGGTCACCTTGTTCTTTTTACTTCCTGGTTCTTCCTCCTCCTCAGGGCTTCTGGTGGGCCTTTTTTGTGGACTTGTCCTGAGCCCACCCCTTTCTTCCAGAGGGAAGGGGACAATAAATGCCCTATAAGGAAGTAATAAAACTTAGGTGACATCCAGAAAGACTGTACACCCCATAGTACTCAGCCAGTGAGGAACCGGGGGAGGGACTTGCACACTAGGAAATAAATAGCTTGATGTAACCATTCTGACGTGCCTGCCCAACAGACACCTGATCTTGTAAGACCACCATTAAAGTCTCGCTTTGCTGTACCTCGTGTTTCCATGTCCATCCTTTGGCATTGGACAAGTGAGGGCATTTCTCACACTTCCTCTTACCATGTGATCTGCTTGTACCCACCAGTGCCTGCCACTTTCCACCATAAGTAGAAGCAGCCTGAGGCCCATGCCAGATGCAGCTGTCCCAGAATCATAAGCCAAATAAACTTTTCTTTATAAATTACCCAGTTTCAGGTATTCTGTTATAGCAACACAAAACGGATTAATACAGAAAATGAGGACAATACATCCAAACTCCATCATCCCACCCCTGGCCTCCCAAAACTCATGTCACTCTCATGTACAAAATACAATCATTCAATCTCAACAGTCGCAAAAGTCTTAGTTTGTTGCAGCACCAACTTAAAAGTCCAAAGTCTTATCTGAGACCAAAGACAAAACTCCTAGCTGTGAACTGGTAAAAAATTTATCTACTTCCAAGATACAATGGTGGGGGCCAGCCCAGTGGCGCACTGGAGAGTGCACCACTTGGGAGCGCGGCGGCGCTCCCGCCGAGGGTTCGGATCCCATGTGGAGACCAGTTCCCGCTCACTGGCTGAGCGCAGTGCGGGCGCGACACCGAGGGTTGCAATCCCGTTACCGGTCAGTAAAAAAGACAAAAAGGAAAGAAAAAAGATACAGTGGTGGAGCAGACATTGGGTACACATTCCTATCCCAAAAGGGAAGAATAGACCAGAAGAAAGGAGAAACAGGCCCCAAACAAGTCCAAAACCCAGCAGGACAAACTTTAAATCTTAAAGCTCCAAAATAATCTTCTTTGACTGCAAACAGGGCACAATGGGGCATCCGGGACCCCAGAGCCTTGGGCAGCCCCATCCCTACCTCTGCCAGGCACTGGGCTGGTATCTGCAGCTTTTCTGGGCTGATGTTTCATGTTGCCAGTGGCCCTACAGTTCTGGGGTCCTGGCAGTAGCCCCACTGCCTTGGCTCCACTAGACATTTCCCCTGTGGGGACTCTCTGTGGGGGTTCCAACCCCACTTTTCTGCTCTGCATTGCTCTAGTAGATGGCCTCTGCAGTAGCTCCACCCCTGCAGCAGGTCTCTGCCTGGGCTCCCAGGCTTTTCCATACATCCTCTGAAATCTGGGTGGAAGCTGTCAAGCCTCCACTGCTCTCATGTTCTGCTGGCCTGCAGACTTAACACGACATGGACACCACCAAGGTTTCTGGCTTGTGCTCTCCAGAGCTGCTGCACAAACCACACTTGTGGCCACTTGAGGCAGGACTGCTCCAGCCAAAGCAGCTGGGATGCAGGGAGCAGGTTCCTGAGGGCAGTGGAGGCCCAGGTCTATCCTCCAGAACAATTCAGTCCTTCGAGGCCTCAGGGCCTGTGATGGGTGGGGCACCCTTCCAGATTTCTGAAATGCCTAAAGGGTCTTTCTCCCACTGTCTTGGCTATTAGCATCTGACTGCCTCATCACCAAGCTAATGTCTTTAATAACCAGTCTATCTGCTTCACCCTTGCATTTTTCTCCTGCTCTGCTTCTCTACCACATGGCCAGGCTGCAAATTTTCCAAATCTTATGCTCTGCTTCCCTTTTAAATTCTGGCTTTACATCATGCCTTTTCTGTCATAACTCAGCATAGGCTGTTGCAAGTAGCCATGCAGCTTCCTTAGTGCTTTGCTGCTTGGAAATTTCTTCCACCAAACATTCTGGTTCACAACTCTTATGTCCCACCTTCCACAAAGTCCTTGGGCATGGACACAATTCAGCCAAGTTCCTTGCTACGGTGTAGCAAGGGTGATCTTTTGTCCAATTCCTGATAAGTTTCTCATTTCTGAGACCTGATCATCTGCACGGCCTTTACTGTCCACATTTCTAGCAGCATTCTGGTCACAACCATTTAACCAATCTCTAAAATGTTCCAAACTTTCTCTCATCTTTTTGTCTTCTTCTAAGTCCTCCAAACTCCTCCAACCTTTGCCCATTACCCAGTTCCAAAGCTGCTTCCACATTTTCAGGTATCTGTATAGCAACACCCTACTCCTTGGTACCAATTTTCTGTCTTAGACTGTTTTGTGATGCTATAACAGAATATCTGTGACTGGGTAATTTATAAAGAAAAAAGGTTTATTTTGCTTACGATTCTGGGACAGCTGCATCTGGCGTGGGCCTTGGGCTGCTTCTACTCATGGCGGAAAGTGGCAGGCAGCCAGCACATACAAGCAGATCACGTGTCGAGAGGAAGCAAGAGAGAGAGGGGAGATGTCAGAGTCCTTTTAAACACCCAGTTCTCGTGGGAACTAATAGAGCAAGAACTCATTCACTACTCCCAGCCCCCACGGAAGGCATTAATCCATTCATGAGGGATCTGCCCCTGTGACTCAAACAGCTCCCAACACTGCCACATTGGGGAACAGATTTCCACATGAGTTCTGGAGGACAATACATCCAAACTCCATCAGCACTGTTATTCTGGGTAACCATTTTATCTACCTTTACCTTTTCAAAATCTTCGGTTGTGAACTGTTTAGAAGCTACATAAAGAAGCCCTTCAGGATCAATGGCCTTCTTTAAAGTATGTTGCACTGTAGGAAGAAGTGGGTAGCAAGGAGATGATTCATTGCAGTTAATTAGTAATCCAAATGCCTCCACAAGGTTAGCTGGAATCAAACTGCAATCCTATATCCAACCAAAAGGTAACAGGCAAATATTAAACTGGCATTTTCACAACTTGGGAATAATTAATTATAAGTTAATCATATAACTTATTATTATTTAAGTTATTTTTATTATTTATTATTAACTATGATTTAAAGCAATTCCTGTATAACATGGGAACTTTGTGGAGATCAATTTTTTTAAATTGCTCTTTACTGAGTGTTTTCTTACACAGTATTCATTAAAGACTCCTCAACTACCTATTCAAATAGTAATTCCTAGTGAGCAGACACCTGATTTGCATGACTAAAAAACATTAAAAATTTTAAACAACTGGGTTATTATTACTTCCAGTACCTGATAGAGTACAGAAATGGGTTAATAAAAACATTAAGACATACTAAAATATGTAGGGTCAGTTACTTAATTTGTGGGGCCTAGTGGTATAAAATGAAAACCTGGACTTCATGTTCAAAAAGCAGGAAAAATGCTGCTTTTAAGAGTATTAATGTAGAAAGCTTTACCCTTCAAAAATATTTAATATAAAATGTAATAGGAGTGATATGGAGAAATTGTATCCCTCGTGAGTTATTGGTTGGAATATACAATGGTGCGGCCACTGTGGAAAAGTTTGGTGGTTCCTCAAAAAGTTAAACATAAAATTACTATATGACCCAACAATTCCACTTTTAGGTATATACACAAGAGAGTTGAAAGCAGGGATTCAAACACCAATGTTCATAGCAGCATTATTCACAATAACTAAAAGGTAGAAACAACCCAAGTGTCCATCAACAGATGAATGGACTTTTTTTAAAGGTGGTATATATACAACTGAATATTCAGTCATAAAAAAGAATGAAATTCTATTAAGAGGCAAATTCATAGAGACGGAAAGTAGAATAGAGGCTGTCAGGAGCTGGGGGAAGGGAAGAATAGGGAGTTATTGTTTAATGGGTAACAGTTTCTGTTTGGGATGATGAAACAGTTTTTGAAATGGACTGTAATGATAGTTAACATCGTGAATGTACTTAAGGCCACTGAATTGTACACTTAAAAGTAGTTAAAATGGTAACTTTTACAATATTGCATTTTATCACAATAAAAAAAAGGAAGTAGTAATACATGCTACAACATGGATGGAACTTGAAAATATTATGCTAAGTTGGGGCTGGCCTGTGGCTCACTCAGGAGAGTGCGGTGCTGATAACACCAAGGCCACGGGTTTGGATCCCATATAGGGATGGCCGGTTTGCTCACTGGGTGAGCGTGGTGCTGACAATACCAAGTCAAGGGTTAAGATTCCCTTACCAGTCATCTTTTAAAAAAAAAAAAGAAAGAAAATATTATGCTAAGTGAAAGAAGCCAGTCCTTGAAGGCCTATTGTATGATTCCATGTATATGAAATGTCCAGAATAGGTAAAGCCAAAGAAACAGAAAGCAATTAGTGGTTGCCAGGGACTGGGAGGGAGGTGGGAGTTGGGAGGTAACTGCTTATGGGTATAGAGTTTCCTTTTGGGGTGATGAAAATATTCTGAAATAAGATAGGGGTAACGGTTGCACAACTGCGAATATTATTAAAAGCACTGAACTGTACACTTTAAGAGGGTGAATGTATGATGTATGAATCTCAATAAAGCTGATACAAAAATGTAGTTTTAGTAATTACCATTCTAAATAAAGAAAAATTAAAATTTTAATTTATTGGCATGAATTATATCTTTTATCTTTACATTGTTCAATACTATCTTTACATTGTTCAATATATGAGCATTTATCTCATTTTTGGAACCACTAGTATTTTGTACATGAGTATGTATTTTGTTCTCACCAGAACAGTGTAAATGCTGCACAAAACTGTTTTTATTTCACTTCTTGATATGCACACATTTCACCAACACTCTGACTTCATCTTACTGATGAATGAGGAAGGACTGAAAGGACAAAAAGTATGGGATGCCCTATCTCTTCCTTTCCTCCTGTATCATCATTTTCAGCATACGTGGTGGGCAAGTACAGGGAAGTAACTGAGTAAGAAAGGATATGACAGAGTTCTTTGGTTTTGTCTCTTAAAATGCCATTGCCTTGTTTCTGCATTAGAAGCACCAAGGTCAAGGGTTCAGATCCCCAGACTGGCTAGCCGCCAAAAAGAAAAAAAATAGAAGAAAGTCTGGTTCAAACAGAAAGCATGGCCTCTTGGGGCTATTAATGCCCCCTTACTCAGTTGAAGATGTGATGATATGGAATATAAGCACTGAATTGTAGTGTACCCACAGTGCATGGAAGTCCAGTGAGAATCAAAGTGAGTGCAAATTAAATGTGTTATTAAAGCTGCCTAGTGATGCAATATATGAAATAGTGTGGCAAGGCACGGTAGATACATGCATGCATGCATCCCCTCTGTTCACATTCAAGCTCCATTGTCTCATTGGACTTCCTTACAAAACACAAAACACAAGTTCAAAGATAAAATTATTAAAAATTTGAAAATGGTGACAGCAGAGTTTTTTTTTTTTTTTGTCTTTTTCCGTGTCCGGCAACGGTTCGCAACCCTCAGTGTCGCCCCCGTACTGGACCGGGACCAGCAACGGGATCGCAACCCTCGGTGTTGCCCCCGTGCCTCGCTCAGCCGGTGAGCGGGAACCGGTCTGTATGTGGGATCCGAACCCTTGACGGGAGCGCCACCGCGCTTCCCAAGCGGCGCACTAGCGCAGTGCACCACCGGGCCAGCCCCGACAGCAGAGTTTTAAACCAAATGCCAGGCTCTTCGGGAGATGGGGTTGGGGGGGCAGGGGGCAGCAGTTCTGTGCAGCTGTACTCGTTCCACACCTGTGAAGCCAGCCCTGCTAGTACATGAGTATTGGTATCTCACTGTGGTTTTTATTTTCATTTCCCTGATGACTAATGATGTTCAGCACTCTTTCATGTGCTTATTGGTCATTTTATATATCTTCCTGTATAAAATCATTATTCGAGTATTTTGCTGGATTGTTTTTTAAGTTATTGACTTACAGAAACTATTTCCATGTTCTGGTTAAATATCCTATGTCAGATATATGTATTGCAATTATTTTATTTTTCTTTGCTTGCCTATTTACTTTTTTTTTTTTTTTTTTTTGTCCTTTTTGAGACCGGCCGCACCGCGCTCAGCCAGTGAGCACTGTGAGCGCACCGGTCATCTCTATATAGGATCCGAACCCACGGCGGGAGCGCTGCTGCGCTTCCTTGGCCCTATTTACTTTTTTTAATGGGGCATTTTGATGTATACAACTTTTTAGTTTTGATTAAGCTCAATTTATCAATTATTTTATGTTTAGTGTTATCTGGGTCCTGTCTAAGAAATTTTTGCCTCCCCTAGGTCATGGAGGTACCTATGTTTTCTTCTAACAGCAGCTTTATAGTTTAAGTTTTTTCATTTAGGTTTATGATTCATCTCAAATTAATTACTGTGTATAGTTGTGAGGTATGAACTGAGATTAATTTTTTCCATATACATAGCTAGTTGTTCCACCATCATTTGTTGAAAAAGCTCCTTTCCTTATTGACTTGCTTTGGTAATATGTTCAAAAATCAATTGATCATATTAATGTGGGTCTATTTCTGTATTCTCTTGTAGGATGAAGCAATATTCTATGTTCTTTGAGCATTCTTGCACAATTATGCTGGTATGCCAATAAGGCAAGGCCTTGATGCTCTTTGCCTGGTCCATAGTCGTCCATATCCTTGTTAGTTATAAATTTGGCCCAACCAGCAATACCCTAATATCAAAACCAGACAAAGACATTACAAGAAAACTACAGACCAATATCTCTCAGGAACATAGATGAAAAAATCCTCAACAAAATACTAGTAAATCAAATCCAACAATCCAACAATGTATGAAATGAATTATTTTGGATCCCTATACTGGCCAGCTACTCCCTCTCCCCCCAACCCCAGAAAAGAATTATACACCACAACCAAGTAGGATTTATCCTAGGTATGCAAGGCTGGTTCAACATTCAAAAATCAATTAATGTAATCCATCACATCAACAGGCTAAAAGAGAAAATCATAATATCATATAATAGATGCAGAAAAAGCATTTGACAAAATCTAACACTCACTTGTGATAAAAAAACTTTCAGCAAATTAGGAATAGAAAAGAACTTCCTCAACTTGACAAAGAACATTTACAAAAAATATACAGCTAACATCATACTTAATGGTGAGAAACTTGAAGCTTTCCCACTAAGATCAGGTATAAGGCAAGGAGATCCCCTCTTACTAATGCTTTTTAACATTGTACTGGAAGTCCTACTTAATGTATTAAGACAAGAAGAGGAAATAAATCTGGCCCAATACAAACTCATATGTTAGCACAACTGAGAGCAAAGGTTAAAATAGTGCATTTGCACATTAAATTCCTGTTTTTATTTATAAAACTGAAATGAGACATGGTATTTAACATAATTTCTCAATTCCTAAAATATGTGCAATATCATCTGAACTGTTAAGTAACTCGTTGACACTGATAGAACTGTAGGTTAAACAGGTAAAAATTAATTTTAAAAAATATTGTTTACCCGATTGAAGCTGTTCAAGTTTATCCTTTTTGTGTGAAGCCAAGTCTCCTATAAAGCAGATACCACCTTTAGCTAGCAAAGCACTGCCAGCTTGAATGCTAACCGCTCCAGTTCCATACTTATTCCTGGACAGTGTAGGAAAAATTTCAGTAGAGACTGGATGACGTATACCACGAGGAACAAGATTTATGCTAAAATTCAAAAGCCTAGGGGGAGAAAAATAAATTATTCATGGCTATTATTTTAATATTTGATTTTCAGAAGTCATAATGTGTTAACAGCTACACAATTAAGTTTAGTTTGATTCAATGTTTATTGAGCAGCTGTGGTATACCAGGTATGTGCTACGGATAAAAACATATATGAGACTTGGTCTTTAACTTGGAAAGCTCACAGCCTAGAACAAGAGACATAAAAAACGAAGACACTTTGTGATAAATACTAAAATAAACGTCTGGACAATAAGGGAGTATTATTTTTTCCTGGAAGGGAGTCAGAGAAATCTACAGAGAAATGACATCTGAACTGGGTCTTCCTCTTTTTATGGATTGCTGTCTTTGCTTATTCAGAATTTTTTTTTTTTCCCCTTTTTCTCTTTTTTCGTGTCCGGCAACGGATCACAACCCTCAGTGTCACGCCCGTACCGGACTGGGACCGGCAACGGGATCGCAACCCTCGGTGCTGCGCCCACACCTCGCTCAGCCAGTGAGCGGGAACCGGTCTGTATGTAGGATCCGAACCCTCGGCGGGAGCACCACCGCACTCCCAAGCGGCGCCCTGTAGCAGTGCGCCACCGGGCTGGCCCTTATTCAGAATTTTTGCACAGGGCTTGCCAATGTCCCATGATGACTATCCCTGCCACCTCTGTATCATGGCAATTCTTGATAAATCCTTTTGATTTCTAACCTCTTTGCTAATTGCCTCAGTCTCTTTATTTCTCAAATTTAAATTCTGAGAAAGGAATATGATTATGTTAGCTTAGTTTTCAAATCCTTGCCCCATAAATTATACTTCGCTGGTACAATCAACTATAATTAGCAGACATAATCATGAAATGCAAAAGAGGGTGAGGCAGTATCCCTTAGATGTGGATAGCTAGACACTATAAAATACATCTACTGTATGTGCCATTCCAAGAAATTTGGACATTAGTCTGAAAAAATATAAAATGGGGGAGCGATATTTAGAAAGAAATTTTTGCAAGCCTACAGAGCAGTGGTTCTGAAACCTAGCCCCTATTAAAATAACCTGGAAAGCTTTTAACAAATCTCAATGCCAAGCCTCACTTAAATTGAATCTCTGGGGGAGAGAAACAGTTCATATATATATATATTTGTGTGTGTGTGTGGCTGACTGGTAAGGGGATCCAAACCCTTGACCTTGATGTTAGCAGTACCATGCTCCAACCAAGCTAGCTAACCAGCCAGCCCTATAAATAGTTTTTTAAAATTCTCCCAGGTGATTCTGATATGCAGCCAGGCTGAGAACATAGAGACATGGAACAATGAGCCTCAAGCTTGGCTACACATTGGAATCAGCTGAGGAATTTTTAAAACTACTGATGCAAGGTCACAGAATACAAAGTTAAAATACAAAAATTAATTGTATTTCTATGTATTTATTTGTATTTCTATATATTCTGCAAATAAAAATGAAATCAAGAAAACACTAGCATTTTTAATAGCATAAAAGTATCAGACATTTTGGAATCAATTTAACAAAATATATGCATGACCTTTACAAAACATTGCTGAGAGAAATTAAAGATATAAATAAATGGAGAGATACATCATATTCATGGATTGGAAACTTCAATATTGTGAAGATGTAAATTCTCCCTGAAATTGATTTATAAGTCAAATGCAGTTCCTACTAAAATCCTTAAAGGCTTTTTCTTTGGTGGGGAGGTTGGTATTAACATATTGATTCTAAACTTTATAAGAAAATGCAAAGGGTCTAAAATAGTTTTTAAAAATCTTGAAAATGGGGCCGGCCCCGTGGCGCACTCGGGAGAGTGCGGCGCTGGGAGCGCAGCGACGCTCCCACTGCGGGTTCGGATCCTAAATAGGTATGGCCAGTGCGCTCACTGGCTGAGCGCAGTGCGGACGACACCACACCAAGGGTGGCGATCCCCTTACCGGTCACGAGAAAAAGACAAAAAAAAAAAAAATCTTGAAAATGAAGAATAAAGTCACATCACCTGATTTCAAGACTGAACATTGATCCCCTTACCGGTCACAAGAAAAAGACAAAAAAAAAAAATCTTGAAAATGAAGAATAAAGTCACATCACCTGATTTCAAGACTGAACATCGAGCTATAATAATCACAGAGTGTAATATTGGCATTAAGTATAAACAAATAGATCAAAGTCACAGAAAAGAGATTTCAAATGGATTTACACCCACTTCAATTTTATACCCAGTTGCTACCCAGTACAACTGATTTTCAGCAATTGTACCAAAACAATTCAACAGGGAAAGGAAAGTCTTTTTATTAACAAATGGTGTGGAAAAATTGGATAAATGCATAAGAAAAACATTAACCTTAATTCCTACCTCACACCATATACAAAAGTTAACTTGAGATAGATAACAGACCTAACTAATATAAAAGCTAAAACTATAATGCTTCTAGAAGAAAACATAAAAGAATATCTTCATGAACTTGCAGTAGGCAAAGGTTTCTTAAACAGAAACCAGAAAACACTAAACATAATAGAAAACAATAAATTGAACTTCATAAAAAGTAAAAAGTCTGCTCATCAAAGACTACTTTAAGAAAATTTAGAAACACAAGCTTTGGACTAGAAGAAAAATTTCATAATACATATATGTGGCAAAGGACATGCATCCGGAACAACCTCGCTAAAAGGTGATCAAAGGACTTAAAGTGACACTTCATAAAAGAAAATATATGAGTAGCCAATAAGCACAGGATACAGAGGTCAAATCAGTAGTCATCAGGGAAATGAAAAAGACTAACAACACCAAATACAGGTGAGTGTGGGAACAAGTGGAACTCTTACATTGTGGGGAGGAATGCAAAATGGTACAACCATTTTGGAAAATTGGCAGTTTCTTATAAAGTTAAAGATAACTTATGACCCAGCTATTCCATTCTTAGGTATTTACCCAAATAATGAAAATACATGTCCAAAAAAGGTCTTGTACAAGAATGTTCATGGCAGCTTTATTCATAATAGTCAAAACATGCAAAACCCAATGTCCACCGCTAAGAGAATGGATAAAAAACAGTGGTATATCGATATAATGGAATTATTACTCATCAATAAAAACAGTGAACTACAGATGTACACAACTGTATCAATCTCAAAAACATTATGTTGAGTGAGAGAGACTAGACCCAAAAGAGTATGCACCATATAATTCCATTATATAAAATTCAAGAACAGTAAAATTAATCTATGGTGAGAAAAATCCCCTGTGGAGATAGGAACTGATTGGAAGAGGGAATGAGGGAAATATCAGGGGTGATGGAAATATTTTATATCTTGTGCTGGTGGTGGTTATAGGAATATATGCATTTATCAAAACTCATTGGTTGTTTTTAATTAGATCTTCTTAGTACACTATATTTCACTATATATAAATTTTACATAAAAAAAACCAAAAAACCGAATCTCTCATACAGTCCCAAATACCATAAGAAAAGTCAAAAGGTTAATGAAAAACAGGAAAAGAGACAAAGGCCTTTGTTTACAACAGGCATCACAAATCAATAAGATATAGATAAACAATAGAAAAATAGACAATGATCAAGAGTAGGAGGTTCACAGAAAAATAACACAACTGTCTAATAAGCTCTGAATGACACTAAAAGTTATTCCCAATTAAATGCAAATTAAAATAAAATTTCATTTTCCAGCCATCAGGCAGCAAAATTTTAAAGTTTGATAATATCCAGAAGCTGTGAGGAAGCAGATACTGTATTCTCATGCTCCATTAGCATAAAGAATAAACTGGTGCAGTCTGTAGCATTTGGCACCATATTTACATTGTCAGTGGCAATTTAATGTTAGCAAAATATCATTTATTCAATTAAATTAATGTTAATTTGAATTTTATTTATTTTAAATTTATTTTATAAGTTTAATTTTGTTTTAGAATCACATACAAGACATTAATATAAGGAGCTTATTCCTAGCTTTGTGAACATTTAAGTCACTTTTTTTAAAAGGGTACTTGCTAGTGGGGAGCCCCAAAATGCTGAGTAGAGAGGCTTATTCCTAGGTTAGGGTGATGTCCCCCCAAAACAGTAATTTTGGCACTTTTAACAGCCTTATTTGGGTGCAATGGATCAACATTATGGAATAGAATTTTGAAGAAAAATAAGGAAATAGCTTGTTGGCTCTTAGGGGGACAATTATTTAAAAATGAAAACAAAGTACAAAATCAAAATATAGAGTTAGGGAATGGGGGAAATGGAAGGTTGGAAAGGATGCGTTTATTTGTAAAGGTCTGAGTGGGGAAATAGGTTGAAATTTTGAGTGGTTAGATTCTCAAAATATTAAAAGCAAACATCCCATAGAAATGTTTTAAAAGTTTCAAACTTCATTGATAAACATTGATTTAAACACTTATACTGGTTCAGATAAATTTTCAATATTGATCTTATAATATGCTCATGGGAAGGATTTATGCAAATCTGTGACCAATTTATAATTTTTAAAATTTATGACACATTTATTTACCTGTGTATAAGTAGAGTATCACTTGTTATAATTAAAATATCTAGGCAATCTTCCAGTTCCTTGTTATGGTCACTTGTCTGTACTAGACTCATCAACAAACAGAGCTTGAGCAAATTGTAAGTCCCAGGAGGAACAATATGTGATGCAAAGATATTGGCAAGTATTGCTGTAAACTTCCAGCATGAGCAGGAAGTCAAGGAGAGGAGACACTTGAAGTTGTCACTAATTCCTGAAGGAACTAAAAGTAAATATTAATACACATAGTAGAATGGGGTTTAAAACAAGAAAACAACATTATGGATATTTAATTCCATTTGTCTAAAATATTATCAAATTATAGTTATTATGATGCATATTCAAATTCTTATAATGATATCAAATTATGATTGGAGGTCATGCTGATCTTTTATTTCTATCCCAGAGAATGTAATTGAAGGAAGCAGTCATCTGTGTCTACATAGATTGGCTGAGGGATGCAGGCAAATCCCTTATTCTGCTCCTTTTAAGATCTATGTGATCAAAGTCAGATTACGGAGCTCCTGTATTACTGTTTGCTGCTGTATTTCCATGTTTGAAATAATATCACTTTCAGTGGGGGCTAATAAGTAGAATGGGAAATATTTAAATGTTACCGTTAAAAGGAAATATTTATATTCTACTACTTTGAAAGCACTGTACTATCTAGTATATTCTAACATTCCAGATTTTCTCCAACTCCTGAAAGGGATGAGTGATTTATCCAATTGGTCAGTTTAAAAAGAACAACTAACTACATGCATACCCCAGTCCCATTCTCCTTCCTCATGGGCTGCCATCATAGAGCAATGATTTCCTCTATTAATCCATGTCCGTGGACTAAGAGAGGCCTACCTTAGTCTAGCTCTTGCCATTTTAACATTTGAGTGGTTAAATCTGCCTAATTCTGGAGTTCAGTATATGAAAGCACACTTTTCCACCTACATATAAGTCATGTTCTGCTACCAAATTAGTAAATCTTGAAACACTTAGCAGAAAATATTAAAAAGATCACTAAACTGCCTACAGTCTCAGTGCTTTTTCCCTTCAATATTTTTGTTCCTTTAAGAAGCTTTTCTTTATAAGTAAAGGTATCTAGAGTCCACATGCGTTTAAATTCAACTTGGATCTTTATTACTACAGATGGATATCTATAGATTCCAAAAAATCCAACTCTATTGAAGACTTAACCAGCCTCTCTTACATTTAGATATTTGTGAGCCAAGTTAAAAGCGGAGGTCTGCTCTCCACTTTTGATTACTTAATGCTAAATTATGTTGGAGTTGTTAAAGGAAATTGTCAGTAATAAAGGTGATATTTTGACCTCCCTGCCTTTATCTTTTGTGTTATTTCTTGATTTGTTCAGAACTCAGAAGAGGAAAGGATGCTATTTTATTGAGCTCTTTCTCAGACCACAACAGTTACTTAGAGTTGCCTTGGCTACAAAATAAAGGGAAGTATAGAAAAATTATTTGACTAATCTCTAACCCTTGGCATCCTCAAACATTTTTCTCCTCACTAATTATAAAGAAAACAGTTTTAAAAGGCTTAGCACTAGGAAAGGAGTCCTACCTGCCAGCAAGTTTCCACAACATTACCCTGATTTATTTCCTTCATAGCACTTGTTATCTGAAATTGTCTTATTGATTAGTTTACATTTTTATTAACTGTTGGCTATATGATTTAAGAGCAGGAACTTTGACTGACCTGGTTACAACTATATCCGTAGTGCTTAAAAGAGTGCCTACCACATAGGCAAATAATATTTATTTGTTGAATAAATGGACTTAAATTTAAATATCTGTTAATATACGATACTAATATTTCCTTACCTCTTGGATTGCAAAGAGTGATGCTATTTGCTTCCATACAGACAGCAGTTTGTGAGGTTTTTAGACAGGTTGGAATTCCAATAATTTTATATTCACTTCCTATATTCATTTTATTAACTGACTCATCTAAAATTATTAAACACAGAAGAAAATATGTATTCACTAAATGAAACTTGTATATGATCATATGGTTCAAAGAACCAGAACCAGGGCCGGCCCGGTGGCGCACTGCTACAGTGCACCGCTTGGGAGCGCGGTGGCACTCCCGCCGAGGGTTTGGATCCCACATACAGACCGGTTCCCACTCACTGGCTGAGCGAGGTGTGGGAGCAACACCGAGGGTTGCGATCCCGTTGCCGGTCCCGGTCCGGTAGGGGCGCGACACTGAGGGTTGCGATCCGTTACCGGACACGAAAAAAGACAAAAAGGAAAAAAAAAAAAAAAAAGAACCAGAACCAGTAACAATTCAGTAGTTGAGTTAATAGTATTTACTTTTGTTTAGTGTAATGTTAATATGCAGTGACACTAATAATGTAAATTGTCTAAATTTAATTGCTGATAAATTTTTAGTTATATGCAATGATGAATTAACTTCAAGAAGCACAAGATGTAGCAACTTGATACTCTCCTATAATATAGTCAAAAGGAAGAAGAACATTCTATATAAGATGAAACACCTTTGCATTAAATGACAAGGAATGTTAAAAATTACCTTATAAGTAATAATTTTATTTGGGAAGAAAATAATTTTACTATCTACAATACATGTAAGTTACTCATACATTCATTATCTAATTGCAAACTGTAAGATAGATATTCTTATCTCCACTTTAAATGTGAAGAAACTGAGAGTGTTAAGACTTTAACAAAGCATATATATGCACCATGGAATACTACTCTGCCATAAAAAAGAATGAAATTCTCCCATTTGCAACAACATGGATGAGCTTGGAGAAACTTATGTTGAGTGAAATAAGCAAAGCACAGAGGGATAAATACTGTATGTACTCCCTCAAAAGTGGGAGCTAAGAGAGAAAGAAGGAAGGAAAGAAAGACCACAGTGGTGTGTTGGACTTGCAGAGGGAGAAAGCATACCTAAGGATACAAAGTGGAGTGGGGCAAAAGGGGACAGGAGGGAGGTTGGGGATAATTGGGTGGGGGACACGGAGTACAATCATAATTTGTGGCATGCTGCCAGTATGGATATGGCCTTCACATCTTGGGCATGAGAGGTGACAATCGACTTTGTATCTCATGAATATTCATAACCAATTTTTTAAAAAAAGACTTGCACAAAGCTAAAGTACTAGTAACTAGCAGAATTGAAATTCAAATCTAGGTCTGCCTATCTACAAAGTCTACCCACTTGCATTATACTAGATTTCTCACATGTACAGATTGGGCAAAGCTTTACATGACTTCAAAGCTTATTTAAAAAGCATACTAAAAATTTTAACCCTCCATTCTACAGTCAGAAGTTGGTTGGCTGTAAAGCTATTAAAGAAAGGTTTACAAGAAGGAGTAAGGGTTAACTTCTCTCTGTGAAGATCAAACATTGATCTCCATAATTTTTCTTCTCTCTTTCTTTATAGCTCCAGAGAGCTAAATAATAACCCCAATATTTATGTAAGACACACACAGAATGATGACAGATCATTATTTTAAAATAACTGTGACCCTGGGACAAGCACAATGCTTGGAACATAGCGGGTGCTAATATCATTTAAAGTGAGTGTTGTATGACTGAATGAATAATTGATACATTAGCTAAATATGTCTCTTTTAAGACACTTAAGAATAATAAGATTTATTTCTTAAGCTACATAAGTACCATTTATAATATATAAACACAGACAAGCTAATTACATATTTTACAGCAATTTATTTTGAGTTCAATTTACCTCTTAGGAAAATTGTAAGAGATTGAAACCTAAATGGCTGGTTGTTAGAATATCCTTGAAAAGCATGAAGTGCCTTTGTGGTAATTATTTCAACTATCTGTTTATCTTAAGGTGAAGAGAAAAAATGAATTAGTTATTAGAATCTATATTCAATTTAATTTCCACATTAAAATATTAGACACTATTTTAAAAATTGTAATTACAAAATATGAATGCATTTTACCACCAAGTACTCTAAATTTTCTGTCTTCTTGAAGTGAAGATGCACACAGATTACACAAAAAGTCATTTCTTACAGTTGCAGATTCTGTAGCACCAGGCACATGCACTCTTATATACTGAAATCCTGAAAGAAAACAGTGGTAAACAAAATTTGCTTTCAGATTTAGTTATCTATTTTCTATCCATTAAAAGTAGTTTAATTCACAGGATAATTAATTCAGTTTTGCACTTGGGTTCAGAGTAGCTCAATTAACACTATTGCATGGCTGTTCCTTGCTAGGCACTGTGCAAAGGCACTGGTAATATGAATGCTTAGACACACAATTTCTACACGTGGCAATGAAAAACAGATCATTTCAGTATGCAGCATTCATTTGCAGGGTGTTCCAAAAGAAAAAAGGGGCATCCAAACCCCTGAGAGGTGGGGATAAAAGGAAAAGATGTCATGGAGAAGGACTGAAGTTAAGGCAAAGTGTTGAGAGAGGACATTAGTTGAAGAGGGAAAAGCATGAGTAAACAGTCATGAAACAATGTGTGAGAAGAACAGGTTCTTCAGTAATATAGGAGCACTTGTTAAATTAGGGGGAATGGGGATGAAAAGGAGAATGTATTTCAATATTATGCAAAGTAAACATAAACATTAGGAGATACCAAATTTTATTACATTCTTTCCACTTTGTGAGTGTTTTATAACTAATTGTAAACATAATTTAGGATTAAACAATAAATTGCTTAATGTTTTGTTACATTTTAATATTTACCTTTTGAGAGAGGACATGCTTCATCTGAACAAAGGAATCTTGCACCTTGTGTATACTTGGTTACAGTTGTCATTGCGATCACAATCCCTTGCATCATATAAAATCTTTGAGATGTGTAATCAAGTGGAAACTCACAAAGATCAAGACCATAACTTGGCAGAGGAGGTAAATGTGTTAATTTCAGCACTATATTAATCTAATAAGAACATAAAAATGGTATTAATAAAAATAGGAGATCCAATTTGTTAGGAACCAAAATTTTAAGATAAAAGAGATTCAAATATAAAATTAAAGTAAAAATCTTATAATCTAAATTTTAATTGAAAATATCATTATGAACTCATTAGTCTTCCTTAAAAATACACATTTCCTGGTTATATCCACAGAAAAGACATAAAAAACAATGTCAAATCAATAGCAAAGAACACTCCTAGCACCCAGATTATGATCTCTTAATATCATTTCTCACTAAAAAGAACCAGGGCTACTTGGGGAAAATGGCTGATTCTAGGTTTGGGGCAGAAGATATACCAGATGGACCTGGCACATCCTCTTGTGTCAGAAACCAAGGGTGTTACAAAAATTAATATAGGAGCAAGCTTGAAGGGACTCCCAATGACCAAGGGTAGGATAATATAAGCATCAAAAAGAATAACTGAGATTCATTGGAACGTATTGGATATATTAAAAAGTTCATAAGTTTCTCATATTTAAGAAAAAGTAAAAAAAGTATTAGTGATCACTGAAGGCTGCTAGATTTCAACTTATCACTCTTTGAAAATTTATAAAGGGAAAGAATCAGACATTTATTTTGCCTCTCCTTACAAATTGTATTTCACAGTAACCAAACAGTTGATGAGAGAAAATTTCTCTTATAGAATAATTTCAGCTAATAGATTCAGAAAGAATGCTAAAATTAGGAAAACCACTATTTTGTAGCTCCTAATGAAATAATGGATTATAGGCAGTGAACATCATTGACTGCTAAAACCATTAGGTGGAAGTTGATGGGAAACTACAATGGAAGGATCAGAATGACAATGCCTGAACCCATTGATGAATTGTGACATTGCTAAAAGCGGGACGACAGATATTATATTCTCCTGATATAATGCAATATGAAACTATGATGTATTCTTGTCAAAATGAGTTGAATCTGAATCTAAAGTCTTTAGAAACAGCTTCTATTTTGGAAATACGGGGTACAGGGGACTAAGTTAAATGGAATAGCAGCACAAGAAACAATCAGACAAATCCAGATTATGTAACATTTTATAGGACAATTAACTAGCTTCTTCAGTCAATGGGGGGCTAGCTGGTTAACTCAGTTGGTTAGAACATGGTGCTGATAACACCACAGTCCAGAGTTCAATCCCTGTACTGTCCAGCTGCCAAAAAAAAAAGTCAATGGTTTAAAAAGGGAAGGGTAGGGAATGGCTCTAGATTGAGAGACTTAGTGAGATGTAAGAACCAATAATAATGTATGGACCTTGTTTTGATTCTGATTTGAGTAAACCAGTTATAAGACATTCTTGAGACAATTGGGAAAATTTAATATTGACTGGATATTAGATGATACCAATAAATTATTGTTACTTTGTAAAGGGTGATAATAGCATTGTGGTTATATAAGAAAAATGTCCATAATTTTTAGAGGTAGATACTGAAGTATGTAGAGGTAAAGTAATAGGACATTTGGGATTTGCTTATTTGAAATATTAAAATATTTCAGAAAAAAATTGATGATGCAGGTATGGCAAAATATTGTAACACTGAATCTGAGTGATAGATACATGGAGGTTCATTGTATTATTCTCTTTACTTTGGGGTATATTTGAGATGTTTTTACTATAAAAATGTTTAATGTTACAAGTATAATACAGGAAATAAAGATGCATATGTAAGATATTCCACTGAACTTTGAAAATAGTAATCTTTTTATCTTTTTTTTTTTTTTTTAAAAAGATGACCGGTAAGGGGATCTTAACCCTTGACTTGGTGTTGTCAGCACCATGCTCACCCAGTGAGCTAACCGGCCATCCCTATATGGGATCCGAACACATGGCCTTGGTGTTATCAGCACCGCACTCTCCCGAGTGAGCCACGGGCTGGCCCATGAAAATAGTAATCTTTTTAATAAACAAAAAAAATCTATGAATATAAAAATATTTATTTACAAGATATCTTGAAAGTTTGTATCTGATTTTTCTTTAAGTTTAACTAAAACTTACTTGAGTTTCAGTCTGTAATTGTCCAATTAATGAGAGAGTCTTCACAGCAATAAAACAGACCTGTGATTTCAAACAAACAAAACAGTTACCAAAACTTCCACGTGGCATAAAATTATTCCATTTTTTAACTTACTGATTGAAAAACTTCAGCAGCTTTTAAAGGTTGGTGTAAAATGTGATTTCCAAGTTCAGCGTCTAATTCAACAACATCAGAGGGATTTATTAAAATATTGAATCGATAGACAGCATAACTTTGTTTTGAATCTGTGAAAATACAGAAATGTAAAAGTTAAGATAGTTAAATGTGAGAATTTATTTGGAAGTTGCTAAATAAAGTCACCTTTACTGAACATACCATTGTAGTACTTGCAATCGTCTATAAACTTTTGGAGGCCTCCACTTCTGTCAAGATAGATAAGGGCTGCCTCTTTCATTTTTAGATTTGACATTTTCTCCTAATTAATGATTCTTCTGTATTACTAATTGATTAAACCATGGTTGCTGGTAAAGATGGTGAAACTCAAAGGAAGGATGAGAAAAACCTAGAAATAAAATAAAATTTACTTTTGAAAACTTCTAATAAGACTTTTGACTTAGTATCTTTACCTGTAGGAAATGAAGAGGTTGTATTAGATGACTAAGGGCCCTTTTAGTTTTAAATCTTGTGTCAGTAACCAACATAAAACATTAAACTATAGTAATGAGTAGAAAGTGGAATATACAAAATTAATTTAAAGACAGCAAACACTAATTGGAAACAGTATTTGCCAGTAATTGTAATAGGTGCCAGGAATAAAATAATATTGCATCTTGCCTTTCAAGAAGTTACCAATTTAGAGAAGTCAAAATGATGATTAACACATTATTTATTATTATTTATTCACTCATTACTGAATATTTATTTGGCATCTACTATTTATTGGATACAAGACTATCCTAGGCATTAGGGATACAAAGATGAGTAAAATGTCCCTATCTTTCAGAAAGAGCACAGTGAGGAAAGACAGGTATGTAAACAGTTACAAGACAACTTAACTGCTATAATAGAAATATGAATATACTAGGGAGCATGGAAGAAAAAACATATGAAATATTTCACAAAATTTGAGTATGGTCATCCTTGAGTATGGGTCATAATATTTTCTATTAGGACATTTTGACTGAAGACAGTGCAGTCATAGAGAAGCAGCTATGAATTCTACTTTAAAGGTGACATTTGATAGATGAATATTTCACTAATTGGAGGAGAGGTGATGAATAGGAAGAGAAAGTTTTCCAGAGATAAGGGTTACCCTCCCTCCTGCCATTATCAGTCCTACCTATTGGCTCTACACTCCTACCTGGCTACTTTCCAAAGAAATCAAGGCTGTCCTTTTAGCTATTATATAGGTGTGAAACTTCAGAGTTTATTTCTCTGTAACCATAAGTACAATGATCTTAAAGTGTGTGTTGTGTTCAGGACATCACATTTCTGCGTCATCAGAACATTAGGTTCTGGGTTTGAATGAAGGGAAGCTATTGGTAATGAAACGGTTGGGTGAGGCCAAATTATGAAAGTTTTTGAAGTCCATAAAGATTATATAAGCAAAGGGAACCCCTCAAAGTTTTTTAAAACAGGAAAGATATATGATCTGATTTTTATTTTGGAAGTTAGTGCCTGCCACCAGTAGAAAATGGGTTGGAATAGTGGAAGAGCTGATAATCAGTTTTTAGCCACTGCAATGTCCCTAAAAGATGAATGGCCTGCTCCAGAGAATTAGGAATGAAATGGAATGTTGGAGATGGATTCTAGAATTTTAAAGATATAACGCTGGGTCTGGTGACCAGTCTGTACAATATGGGGAAGAGTAGTCAAAAGATAAGTGGGTTTTTAATATGGGTGTGTGTGGATGCTGCTGCTCTAATGGAAGTATGAAACTCCCGGAAAAAAGTAGGAAAATGATATGGAAAACTTCACTTTAAACACCCTGACTCTGAGGGGCTTTTGGGACGCCCAGATACATACAGGGCCTGTAAATCCGGGCCTGGGCCTCAGTGGCGTCTGGTGTCTCCGTGCTGAGGTCCTGAGGAGTGGATGCATTTTCAAGGAAGATCAAGTGGAGGAAAAGACAGGAAGCTGGGGAAAGCTTATTAGTAAGCGAACAAGGACACAGTTCTCTAAGTATTCCCAAGTGTCGGTGCACTAGGAACAGACGCGGATTGTGTTTTCTCTCCTTGTCCTGTCAGCCCCGGGGATGAACTGGTGAGGGGATGACGGCAGGAAAACACCTCCCAACCCAAGTGTAAGGCGAATCTGGCCTCACACGCTGGGACCCAGCTCCCCCTCCCCCGACACAGCCGCAACTTCCCGGACCGTGGGCCCCAGCCCAGCAGTGCTTTACAACCACCCTGGAACCCACCGAGCGCGACCCGTCGCGCGTCGCCTCGAGCGCCGGCGGAGCGGGAGCCCTTGCGCGCATGCGCGCACTCCCGACCGTTGGCGGTGGGCGCGGGGGCTGCCGGGACCGCGCTTGCCCCCGTTGCTACGGGCGCTAGAGTCACCTGCTCCCCATCCACCGCCCTTTAATTTCTTCACTTTTGCTCCCTCCCTGCGGCAAAGAGAGAGGGGTAATTTTGTTTTCGTTATCACAGTACTTTATTATTACAGAATATCACTGAACATCAGATACAACTTTTCAGGGATAGGGTGAGAATTAGAAACTTCCCAATAAGTTGAAAAATTTAAGTATACATCCAACGCAGAAAACAAATACGGTACGTGAATCCTTTTGATAGAGCTATGTGACCCTCTCCACGCTCCCCGCCCCCAACCCGGTTCCCCTGTCAATCTTACACACGCAAAACCTGGCATATCATTTCAAGGCACTCGAGCCACCTGAAACTCTCTTGTGTACACTTTAGGGTTTCATAGTGCTAAGGATGAAAGTTTCTGTCCCTACAAAATTCATATGTTGAAACATAATCCCCAATGTATTGAGAGACGGGGCTTTGGGGAGGTAAATGGGATTAGTGCCCTTGTGAAAAAAACTCTAGAGAGCTAGTTATTAGCCTCTTCCACCGCGTGAGGACTTACTGAGAAGTCTCCATTTATGAGAAAAGGGCCCTCAGCAGACACTAACCCCTCTCTATACTGGACTCCCCAGCCTGCAGAACTGAGATGAATGTATGTTGCTTACAAGCCGCCCAGTTTATGGTATTTTTGTTACAGCAGCCCCAATGGACTACGACACATATAAATGAACAATCATCTTGGGAATGGTATAATCTGTAAAACCAAAAAAAAAAACCCCAATAAAAGTAAAAACTGCCTTTAAAGGCAGGTGGCAGAAAAATCCCATTTAAAAATAGAGCTAATTTACAAACTGCACGTATGACGAATTATCAATTTTAATATGCTGTATTGATAAAGTAATTCCAACATTACCAAAAATGTTCTTGTATATACAGCCCTACTTTTCATACAGCACAGTATATGATATACATAAAAAAGGACTTACAAAACATTTGTGTAAAGTTATGTAATATTATGCCTAAGGAAAATAACTATTACAAGCATACTAAAAGGTACTGATAATGGCAAATTTTTATAGTGGTAAAAATGTAGAATATTTAAGCCCCCATTCAAATGTTTACCATTGCTCAAATTATATCTGAGCAGTGTTTTTGGCTCTTTGTAAATTACTTAAATTCAAAACTTGTGGTATATTGAATCTTTGACAGAGCACCTGCTGCCAGTGTCTACATCATTTGGCATCTATACCCCAGGGAGTGCCAAATAAATTTTGTAACTTTCAGTGTGTACTATGATGTGACAACAGTTGAGAAGCCCTACATTGTACCATATGCAGCAAAATAAGAGGTATGGGTAACATGAAGAATGTTACAGTCTTTATTCAGACTTTGAGTTTACTTTGGTAGTAACCATGAAATGGTTCAACTATTCAAAGGGCACACATTTTTATAAAAGATTTACGCTATGAGAGAAAAGATAATGTTGAAACTTGTAAGAAATTTTGTTCCCTGAATATCACATCAGCCTATGATAATCTAGTAATTTATGTATCCAAATATTTTCTGTTATTTTCTATTCACTTTTCTCCCTCACATTATTTCATTTTGTAATGACTACTGTAACCATCACCAATTTTAATTTCGAATAATGACAGGCATTAAATGATCATTAATCTTTATGCTAACTTTATTATATAGATTTGTATTTCTTGTGTTCCAATAAACATCTAAATTCTATTTTCAATTCGTTCATAAAAATATACAATATTGCACTTTAATTTTTGGCAGTTTAATTAAGGAGTAGCTGAGTTTAAAAAAAATCATACAAGAAACTAGTTTTTATTTTGCTTTATAATAAGCAAATAGCTTTGTGTAAAAGCAGAACTTACAGTAGTGCCATATAAACCAATTATTTACAGTGCAGATATTAAAGTCTTACCTCTAAAGGAAGATTCAGTGTACTGTAATAATATTTATTAATCTAACAAAAGCACACTCCCTTCTCAACCCCCTCCCCTTTCTGAGAAATACTTTCATGATTTTGTGATTCTCAAGAGAATATATGGAAGGAATGCTTGTTCTTGGAGCATCTAAACTGAGTCACTAAACTCTTTGACAATAATGTTTCCTACATGACTTGAAAAACCTCCATTCTAAACTAAGAATAAGAATTCCAAGTTAAGCATCCCTTTTTATTTTTCTGTAGTTATTCTCTTTTACCATTACAAGTGCACAAGTTAGTTGATATGTTATGATTTTAAGGCCAATTTCTTATACTTTTTCTGAGATACATAAGATCCTGAATATGCATCTGCCGGAATTATTTTTAACTTTTGTTATATTGTAGTGAAACTATACAAATTTACAATGACCCAGAATTTATTTTACTTTGTAATTACCAATTAGGTAAATACAAAGCTCAATATATACATTTTTTTAGGAAGACAGTTTTGAAATAGTTATTTGCAAAAGCAAATACTAAAATTTAGACCTACTTAACAGCATGTTAAATATTCAAAAGACCAAAAGGAACATAAATAGAATATATTTGTAATATAAATACATGACACGGACATTCATTTTTGGCACCACCTAAAAAAGACCAGCAATATTTTATTACTCTGCAGATCTTTGGGAATTCTTTAAAATTTCTAACCATTAAATGTTTTCTTTTCCTCCAGAGGAAAGATAATTTACAAATTTGAATTGGTATTCCAAAAGCAAATGATTTCCTTTTGTTTCTTCTTAAATGATCTGCAGATTGAACAGTTATTCAAAGTGTCAACTAGCAGTCAATGTCTTAACTAGGCTTTTACATTTTAATCCTACCAAGAACCAATTATTTCAAACAGTGATTTATCATGGAAAGATCCGGTTTCTTCTTAAACAATCCCATACCAATTGCATAGTTCTGATATGATAAAAGTTATACTAGAGAGTTACAAAGGTATTAGCGTACGGTAACTGAACTGAAATAGACTGTTAAAAAACAGTCTATCTTGGGTAGATGTTAGTGTAAACTTAGAGGGGAAAAAACAGTCAATAGCAAAGAGTTTTCTTTAAAAATAGGTTAATGCTAAGAATAATAGCTTTTAAAATTTCTGTTTAAAAATAAGCTTAATAAACAAGAATACAAATTTTAATTCAAAACCTAGCTCTTTGAAAGGCCCCGTTTTCTTGCATACAGCAGAAAATACATTTGTTCATAGTTTTCAATATTACTAGTAAAAATGAGGCACTAGATACATATTTGAATATATTCACACAAATAGGAATTTCAGTCCCATCCGTAGGCTTATATTTGTTCAATGATTTCTGAATGGCGAACCGTTCACAAAAATAAGTCTTCTGAAGGAGGTGCATAAGAGAAACCAAGGAATGCATCATCTGCCTCCAGTACACTGGCATTCACTATAGAATAGTCAGAAGACACACACACAGAATATGGAACTGTTTCTTCTGTAAACGCTGTGTCAAAGTTCCTGATATCATCTGGTCCAGCCTAAAACATCAAAAGCATAGTATTATTCACTTAGCTTTTCCTTCACTTAGTCCTTCATTAAAACTCCTTTAAGAATTAGTATATTTATTCCTGGCAAGATTACATGTCTTCCTACTTCATTTCTTTGAAATGTTTTTCCACTTTTTCTTTCCTGACTTTTATTATTTGGAAGAACTACTGTTCTCCTAGCAGTTACAGTCTTGTTGGGTAAAGGGGAGGAGAGAGAAAAGAATGAGGAAGGCTAGCAAACAGAGTCTTCACCTAGCTAATTTTCAATCTCAATCCCTGTAACCAATCCCCTTTCTCTCTACCCCTCACCACCTCTAAGGGCTCAGGTAGGTTTTCAGGATAGCATTTTGCATTTGAGCCTCCATAAAATGCCTGCTTATCTGGTTTGCAATTCTGGGTGGTGAAGCCTTCTGATGAAGGAATGAACGGGTTATAAGTAGAATTGTGAAAGGTGACTCATCATGCTACAGAGAAGGTCAAAAAGCATTTGGCTAGAGTGCCCTAACTCTGCAAGCCTAAGGGAAATAGGTGCACGGAAACTGAAGCACAATGGCTGCTTTGGCTATAAAGCATTGGTTCTAAATCTTCCTTTACAAATCTGATGCAAGCTAATGGACCCTCCCCTTCCAATGTATTTATAGATAAAAACTGGGATAGAAATTCAGGTGATTAATTCTTAAAGTCCATCCCTGAAGCTACAGGTTGTTTCTGCTCTATTTGGAAGGGAATCCTTAAAATGCTCAAGCCATCAAGTCTGAGGTAAACAGATAAAGAGGTTCAGGGCAGATAATATAAACTGAGGATAATAATTAGCCTGGTCTGTTTACAAACTGAGCAGAGCAGAGACCAGGGAAACCCATAATACTAGATCCTTCCATATGAAAAAATTCCCCACAGAGGACGAAGAATGCTAGAATTTATATATATGTGTGTGTATATATATATTTTTCCTCATCAAATTCTTATATACAATCCTAGAAGTATGGGCTCTTAAATTCTGGCTATGAAATATGCTAGCTGTTAATTCTTTATATAAACTATCCTATCTCTATGAGCTTGTTTCCTCTTCTGTAAAATAAGAGTACTATCACCTACCTCTTAAGGATATGAATTAATCCATAAAATTCCCAGATCTGACATGCAGAAGGTGCTCAGTACATGATAACAAATGTTCTTTTACTTGGCTTTATAAATATTTTGTGAATGACTTTGTAGCTGATACTGACAGGGATAAAACTGTATGGTTTACATTAAGAGTAAGTGGCTGAGTTCAAATTCTAGCTCTGCAACTTTAATTTCTGGGCAAGTTATTTAACCTATTCTGTGCCTCAGTTAACTCATTTGTAATAAGTAGAAAATAACAGTACTGCTTTATAGGATATTGTCAGGATTAAGTAAAAGGCTACATGTAAAGTATCGAGAACAGAGTATTAGAACATCTCCTTCATTATACCTTGGAGTTAACTTTTTTTTTGTCCTTTTTGAGACCGGCCGCACCGTGCTCAGCCAGTGAGTGCTGTGAGCGCACCGGTCATCCCTATATAGGATCCGAACCCGCTGCGGAAGTGCTGCTGCGCTCCCAGCGCTGCACTCTCCCGAGTGCGCCACGGGCTCGGCCCATGGAGTTAACTTTTTGATCTTTGTTAATCTGTTAGGTGGAAAATGGTAACCTGCTATGCTGCTGCGCTCCCAGCGCTGCACTCTCCCGAGTGCGCCACAGGCTTGGCCCATGGAGTTAACTTTTTGATCTTTGTTAATCTGTTAGGTGGAAAATGGTAACCTGCTATGATTTAATTTTGCATCTCTTCAATTGTGAGTTTGAACATCTTTTCATATAATTAAAAGCCATCTGTATTTCTTTTTCTGTAATTCCATGTTTTGTGTTTTTTGTCCACATTTCTATTGGTTGCCGGTCTTTTTACTCACCGACTTGTAAGAGTGTTTTACGTGTTAAGGAAAATTTCCCCCAGTTTGTTATTTGCTTGTACTGTTTTTTTTCTTGCAGATATTTCTAAATTTTGTGTGGTTAAATTTACCAATTTTTTTCTCTTATGGCTTCCAATTGTTAACAGGGAAATAAAATGATTCTAATCCATTTATAATGAAGACTACTTGGGCACATAGTATAATTTTCTGCAACCCATTGGATTTTAGAAGGACTATTAATTGCTAAAAATGTTCATCACAGAAATGCTGAAGTTTAGCATGATCAATAACCCAACTCTCCCTTTCCTAGTAACTAACCCTATTTAAAATATAAAACACCCATCAGACTGAACAATCAATTATACTCACGCATCCCTTAGTGATGGCGATACATTCTGAGAAATGTGTCATTAGACAATTTTGTCGTTGTGTGAACATTATTCAGTGTACTTAACACAAACCTAGATGTTATAGCCTACTATACACCTAGGCCATATGGTATAGCCTAGGGTTCCTAGGCTACAAACCTGTACAGCATGTAACTATACTAAATACTGTAGGGGCAACTGTAACACAATGGTAAGTATTTGTGACCAAAATGTTGTTATGTGGTGCATGACTGTAATTCATAGAAAGAGTAAGCATCAAAGAATTTCTGTTAACTACATTTCCTCTCATAGATATAATCATAAATTATTATGAAGCATCCATTTTTTGGCCTCACATTACATTTTCAAAGTGACCAATACATATTACTGACAAATTCTCAAACAGAGGAAAAGGGAGAAGGGAACTAATATTTACTGAATACCTACTAGGTGCAATGCATTCCAGGTACTTTACAAATGTTACCTAAATTAAACTTCACAGCCCATGTTAGGGAAAAAAAAGAAAAGAAAAGGAAAGAAAGAAAAAACAGCTTGGAGAGGTTAAATCTCTAATTAATCATAGAAGAGTAGAGACCCAAATTTGGAGTCCCTAACTCTTTAATGTGCTTGTTGCATTTATTGGAGGGTAACTAAACTCAACTACAACTCTCACTCTAGAGACAAAAATAAAATAACTCTTAAGAGTCCTAGGTTCCTACTACAAACTCTAGAAATTTGGGACAGAAATTGTCTCTGATGGAGTCACTTCTTTAATAGTCACTTCTGGATGCACTATATGAAATGTCAGTCTACAAATATTATGTTTTTAGGTGTAAAATATCACACCTATTAATTAATACTAGCTATGAGCTATGCACAGAAACTAACCTTCAACAAAGCCTAGGTAGATTAAATAATACTTATTTTCCTGAAGGAATTTCCTTGTCCTGCTCTAATATATTAAAAAAGCATTCCCCAAGTTTTATAGCAACACCAAAAAACTTTAAATAAAAGAAAGAAAAATCACCTATGATCTTGCAACCTCAAATCCATCTTGGTTTATATTCTCTTCCAGTCCTTATTCTTATTTTTACTATAATAATCATAAGTCACAAAAATGATAATTACCATGTTTTCACTTAATATTATAAGGATTTCCTAAGTGTTTTCTCATTTTTATATTTAATTTACTTAACAAGAAAAGGCAATGGAGCATAAGAGAGAGCACAGAAAGAATGACTTTGGAATCACACACTGATTTGAATCCTGGCTCTGCTAATTTTCATCCAGCTGAGGCATCTCTGAGCTTTCATTTCCTCATTATAAAATATTTATAATGATAAGAATAGTAACAGTAGTAAGTTGGTAGCTTACTTGAGAAGTATATTATATACTGTAACATATACAAAGTTTATGGGCCTACACATAGGAAGCTATCAATAATTACTAACATCTTACTGGCCTACTGATGATTATTAATTAACATTTCTCTATTGCTATATATTGATTTCCAAAAATTTCCAACACTGTTAATACTGTAAAGGACATCTTTGATGCAGCTTTTTGTTTTAAAAAAAATTCTCTTTAGTGAAATGCTTCCATCAGTAGATTTAACAAGTCTAGCTAACATGAATATTTTAATAATACTATGTTATTGTTTTCTAAAAAGGATGTAACAATTTACATTAGTGTTAGTAATGTTTGCCTATACCTGGTTTTAATCAATAAAGAAAAAACAGTGTATTAGTGTTACCTAAAATGTTTGTTGATTTACTAGGTATAAAAATGATACCTAACAGTCACTTCAATTTGCTTCTTTTTTACTTACTAAGCTCATCCCTTTCTCACATGCTCCAAAGAAACAATTCACAATTACTGTAATGGGAGATATTTTCATCAATCTAATCTAACAATAATCTTACTGGTCATCTTCAAGTTATTAGTTGTATTAATCAACCCTGAGTGACATATTTCACAAATATTTAGGTACTGACTCCATTTCACTCAGGTTAGATTTTGAGATATATTTCCAAAATTATAATAGTGAAACTGTTCCATGTTTCACTATTTTAGGAAAAAAGATTTGGATATATACTTACCACATTAGGATTAAATGGTGGTGGAATCTTCTTTTGTACAAGGTCAGTCCAGCTCAGTGATTCAAAAAAAGGATGATTCTGAATTTCAAGCTAGAATATTAAAAAAAATTTTTTTTACTAATGCTGAAGAATATATTAAATATTCATGGAAGAATTTTATGAAGCCAAACCACTACCACTTTGCCTCTCAATAATTCTTTTTAGGCACATGTTTATCTCACTCACATGGTAAAATGTTGGAAAGACTATCAGGGCAGACTTAAAAGTTACTTACAACAAACTACTTATTAAGTTATATCCTCTTGACTGTCACAGTTTCCTCATAAGTAAAATGGGATAAACATTTCTGCCCTAAATACTTCAAAGGTTGTTTTAAAGATCAGCATAAAATATAGGAATAAAAGGGCTATGAAAAGAAAAAGGCATTACACAGGTATGAAGGATTATCATTATTGGAGCAGGAGAGGTAAAGAAATTGGGCAGAGTTTTCTACACTGGCGCAGAGGTAAAATCCAGGTGATGAGCTCCACTCTGGGTTGGTACTTTCAAAAGCCGGCACAGTATTGATTCTAGCTTTTTTTCCTGCAAGATGACATATGAGGGTATAAAGTAGGATCCAACCTAGTTTGCTGGCTTAAAAAAGATTTCTAAGAGCAAGTGATGTCTGACCACAGGTCTGAAAGTAAGAAAGAATTAGCCAGACAAAAGAATAAGGGACAATGTTCTAGGCAGAACAGAAACGCCCTGAGGTGGCAAAGACGTTAGTTTGGTTAAGAAAATCAGAGTCCAGTACGGCTGCAGTGTAGAGAAGGATGGGACTGTTACATAAAGTGAAGCTTGAGGGCTAAACAGGCCATATAATATCAGGTTTACACTAGGAATTTAAAATTTTATTCTAGGGTTATGAAAAGCCATCAAGGAATTTTAGGTATGGGAATATCACACCTGGGTTTTTGTTTTGTTTTGTTTTTGCTTTTTTAAAGACCACCTGGCTACAAGCGAGAAATAGATTGGAGAGTTAAGACCAGATAAAGGAAAAATAGCTACCATTGTGGCCAAACTAAAGATGACAAATGCCAGGAAAAGAGTAGTAGCAGTGCGGCTAGAAAGCAGAGTCTGGATAAGGGAAAGATGTAGGCAGCAAATGCATGCAACAGGACCTGACTGTTAAATATGGAAGTAAGGAAGAGCAAAGAATCATCAAGAATGACTTTCAGATTTCTGACTTGAATAACCAGATGGCCAGTGATGTCCTCTAATGTGGAAAGGGAGCACAGAGGCACAATAGCAGGAATCTCATTTTGAACATGCTGTGTTTCAAGTGCTCTCAAGAAATCCAAGTCGTGGTGTTGAGCTAGTAGATATTATCTAAGTCTAGAGCTCAGAAGAGAGGTCTGGACTGAAGATATAAATGTGTACTATGAAGACATACAGATAATTAAGGAAATGGGACGAGCTGAGATCATCCAAGAAGAAAGCAGAAGAAAAGAGGGTTTCAGGACAATGACAAGGAACTGCAACACTTAATAGTCAAGTTGAAGAAGAGGAGCTTAAACAGGAGATGCTGGAGGAGGGCTCAGAAATCAAGAAAGGGATGCATGAGATGAAATGAGTGCGTGCCCTTGAAGAAGCCTAAGGAAGGAAAAGGTTTCAAGTTTAAATGCTGCTGAGAGTACAAGCAGAGGAATAAAAGTATCCAGCAACTCTAGTAGCTATTTTGTGGTAGACTAAGAAATGAGAGAGCTTGGGAAAAGGAGAGTGAATATAGAAAAATTTCAACATGTTTAGCTAAGAAGGGAAGAAGACAGAGTAGTATCTCAACAGGACAATAAGGTTGAGGGTTTGCGGATTGTTTTAAGAAGCAGGAGATTGACAACATTTAATTATTGATTAGAAGAAACCAGAACAAAAGGGAGCAATTATCTGTGCAGAAAAAAGTCATGCATAGGGTTCCTTTCAAGGGGACGAGATTCAGTGCACAGACAGAAACAAACCTTTTCCCACTATAATAGGAAGAAAGAAATGATAGGCTCCTGCAGGTGCATGTAGGTCTGCAAATGTGAGAACAGGAAGCTGGGTTAGTTCTGCTCTGAGGGTTCTACTTATAAATCAGAAGGCAAGAGGATTTGCTAAAAGTGAAGAAGAAAAGGAATCTGGAAGTTTGGAGAGAGAAGTTTGAAACAGTTAATACAAGGAATAGGAGAATAAGCTGAATAGAAAAACACAGGAACATTAGCAAACAGTGGTGAAGCACAGAGGACATCCCGACTGTGATGTGACATGCTTCCACCATGCCCAGTTGTGTTACTTTCTTCAGCACCGTTCAGCAGCCCAGGAGATGACAGAGGTGGATTTGTCCAGGGTTGCAATTTTTGTCAACAAATTCAATAACAGGACTAAGGGACAAGGAGGTGTGAAATATTAGCAAGACTGACTGAAACAATGGATAGAAACAACTGAGAGAGCTACTAGCTGAACTGGAGAAGAGGGGAACAGGAAAGTAGGAGAAGCAAGGTCTTTTATTCATAGCTCAAGTTCAAGATTTATACACAGCCTACAAGAATATCTGAGAAAGGAATTAAAAGGCTCATATTCTTCAACAGTCTATGAATTTACTGACACACTAACGTAATACTGGTAACTACACTAGAAATTTAATTTGATTTGAAAATGTTCAGATTTCATAATTATCTCAAAGCAGTATCACCAAATACTCAAAAAAAGAAAAAGAAAAAAGAAAGGTGATTTAATGTTAGTTCAAGGCAAAAGGCATTATTTCATACAGACAGGACACACTGAACAAATCCTTGTTAAGAAAAATAAATTCTTGTTAAAAGCTGAGGAAGGCCCAAACCCCTAATAGGAAGCTTACTAGTTGGTTATTCTCTGTGTTATTTGTTCATGGAAATTATAGTATTATTTAGTAATAAAAATAAAAATAGCAAAAAAAAAAAAGTTTAGGTAGTTAAAAAAATGCCACACAACATATTTTAAGAAGAACAGAGGGAAAGGGAAATTGTAACAAACGAAAGTCAAATAAATAATAGGGTATGAAAGCTGGATGAGAGGGATGAAGAGGATCAAAATATTATAAAGATCAAATGAAAAAATTCAAGTTAAAGTGCTTTAAACACTATATAGTTTTATATAAACATAAGTGAAAACTGTGGGGACAAGTATGCATTTTTCCCATGGTACTGTTCTTTAATAGCTGTATTCATTACACTAAATATCACATAAACTAAAGACTTATCTTCAAACTATAAATAAGCTTAAATAAAGCTGATACTGGGAAACATGTTACATACAAAGTCTTCTTTGGCACCAAGTCGATTTTGCCTATCTTTTTCTAGGAGTTCTTCCAGAATGGACCAGGCTGTAAGGCTCACGCCTGGTCTTAAATTTAGGGGTTTGTGAAGAATATTGTCATACATTTCAGCAACATCTCGGCAATAAAAGGGAGGCTGAAATAAAAAAAAAAGAAAAAAAAAAGGCAAATTAAGAAAATTAGTGGTAACTAAACTGTGCCAAAATGGGGTTAAAATAGTTGGATTTGACTTTGATCTGCAGGGAGTAGTTGGGTCAAATTAAGAAAATTAGTGGTAACTAAACTGTGCCAAAATGGGGTTAAAATAGTTGGATTTGACTTTGATCTGCAGGGAGTAGTTGGGTCTGGACAGTTGCAGAAATGCCTGCATCTCTTGAGGCCTGTAGACATCTGCAGTATGGCTTCCCAATGCAAAGAGATTCTAAAAGCCAGCATACAATAGAGCTTAATAAATGTTCACTGAACAAATTAGGGCCAGTTGTTCAATAACACTCTGTAGACAGCTGTTAAACTGTATACAACCTGTAATAGTATCTGTTTTAGAGAAAACCAACACCAACCTCATCATAGGCACAATGAATATAATCTTTGGAAATGGAGACTCAAGACAGATTAAACAACAAATACTTTCTTCAGACTTTGAAATAAATTCATTACAACAAAGATTACTAGAAGAAAAGGAGACCTGAAGATAATGCTTCTGCCTAAGTACCTGTGCCAGTGCCAGCACTATGGGTGTACTTTGCAGAATTAAAAATGTTACTATCACAGTCTGAAGACCTCAGGTATATCTTCAACATGGGTACATCTTCAACACAAGCATTAGGCAGTTAATCACCTAGTCAAACATTTTAAAGTAAAAATAACTTTTGCTTTTCCTTTCTTTTTTATTTTTGGTGGCTGACTGATACAGGGATCAAACCCTGGACCTTGGTGTTATCAGCACCGCACTCTAACCAAATGAGCTAACTGGCCAGCCATTTTTTAAAATTTAATTTTATTATTTATTTTTGGTGGCTGGCTGGTAAAGGGATTGAACCCTGGACCTTGGTGTTATCAGCACCATGCTCTAAACAACTGAGCTAGCCAGCTAGTCCTCCTTTCTTTTTTATAGGAAAGAAAAAACTTGATTTTTTTAACACTTTAAAATAAAACTTTTTAAAAAAATCATTCATAAAAGTCTCATTGATGAAGTATGTGTTTTAAATATTCCCTTTTGAATCAACTGCATTTTATATACAAGTATATTTTATGCTTTAAAAGTCTTCTAAAGAAATTCAAAGCATTCTGAAATATCAAGATGGTGAATATGCAATGCTAGAACAAAGTAAGGTATGAAGTAGTTTTCCAATATTCTAAGTCACCAGCATAAACAGAAAAGCAGATCTTTTAATGAGCGGATCTTCGTCAAGGGCAAAAAAGAGACAGTGTAAGTATCCACAGAAATCCATCATTCAAAATTAGCAACATTAAACAAATGCTCTGAAATGCACCTCATATGCTGAATTTCACTGGGAGCTCCAGTTTTCAAAAAGACCAAACACATGGGTTGACCCCGTGGCGCACTCGGGAGAGTGTGGCGCTGGGAGCGCAGCGACGCTCCCGCCGCGGGTTCGGATCCTATATAGGAATGGCCAGTGCACTCACTGGCTGAGTGCGGTGCGGGCGACCCCACACCAAGGGTTGCGATCCCCTTACCGGTCACGAAAAAGACAAAAAAAAAAAAAAAGACCAAACACATACCCCAGCCCCCAGCTCAGGTCTTAACTGACAGCAGCATTTAGCATCAGTGGTGGCAGCAGCCTCCATGACACATGGCTCTCAGCATGTGCACTTATGGGATCACAAGGAGAGTCTAGAAACTATTCCAAATATTACAAAAAGCCTAAAGAAAAACATACATTTATTCTCATAAAGCTATGTAAGCTAACCGAAAAGCCTAAATTGTTTGCTTTGGGTTGGGAAGATATAATGTAATAAAACAACTTTACTCATGTTACTCAGGAGCTCTGGCTGGCCTTATGTGTCTTTAACTAATAAAAACTGGAGAAAATGAATGCATGGTAGACATCACTTTTCTCAATGCATCTTTAAGGCATGGTGTCTTCAGGGAAGGGAAGAAAGGGTGATCTCCAGTGACGGAAAAAGCTGAGTACCAGTGTATTAATTAAATCCTATAAAAACAAGATAAAAAGCAAACACCAAAAGGCGTTATCTTCTCAAATACAATAATATATTGATAAATGCAAAAATCATTTCCTCTCCCTGCATCTTTTTGAAATTAGGCAGAATGATGTTTGGGGTAAATTGAATAAAAGCAGATTTTTTTTTTTATTGAAACATAATTGGTCATGTTTGTGGGGTACAGAGTTGGCTATCAATACTTGCATACAATATGTGATGATCACCATCAGGATAATTAAGATATTATTCATCATTACAAAATGTAATAATTCTTTGTGTCCATTAGCCAATTCTCGCTAACCCCCCCCTCCTTTCCCACCTCTAGAAACCACAGTTAATTTCTCTCCTTCTGAAAGTTCAATGTATAATTGTGATTACTTTTTGGCAATTATTGTTTTTTCCTTCTTTTTCTTTCTTTTCCTCTCTCTTAGCTCCCACTTATGAGTGCAGCCACGTAGCACTTCTCTTTCTCTGCCTGGTTTGTTTAACAACGTAATTTTCTCCAAGCTCATCCATGTGGCTGTGAATGGCAGGATTTCATTCTTTTTTATGGCTGAGTAGTAGTCCACTCTGTGTGTGGGGGGGGGGTGTGTGTGTGTATGGTATATGTATATATATATATATATGTGTGTGTATATATATATATATATATATACACGCCACATTTTCCTTATCCAGTCATCCATCAATGAACATTTAGGTTGGTTCCATATCCTGGCTATTGTAAAGAGAACTGTCATAAACATGGGAGTGCAGGTATCCCTTTGACATGATGATTTCCATTCCTTTGCATATATTCCCAGCAGTGGAACTGCTGGTTCATATGGCAGTTCTATCTGTAGTTGTTTTAGAACCCTCCATACTGTTTTCCATAACAGCTGCACTAATTTACAATCCCACCAACAGTGTAGGAGGGTTACCCTTTCTCCGCATCCTTGTCAGCATTTGTTATTCTCTGTCTTTCTGATAATGGCCAGTCTACTTGAGGTGAAATGATATCTCAATGTGGTTTTGATTTGTATTTCCCTAATGATTAATGATGTTGAGCGTTTTTCATGTACCTGTTGGCTATTTGTACAACCTTCCTTTGAGAAATGTCTATTCAGCAACTTTGCCCATTTTTAATTTCATTTTTATTTATTTATTTATTTTACTCTGTAGCTCAGGCTTTTTAAAAATAAATCAATATTACTAGTATGTATATTATTACAAATTGTACTTATTCTCTATGCCCCTTGTGCAATCTCTCCCTATCCCCCTCCCACCACTGATAACCTAGATTTCTTCTCTACCTCTGAAAGAGTAATGGTTACTCTATTGATTTGTTGCCTAGATGATCTGTCCAATGCTGAGAGGTGTGTTCAGGTCCCCCAACATTATCATAGAGCAGATGCTACTTCTGTCACTCTTGAATGGGCTTTGTGGAGAGAGACATCCTCTTCTTTTCTTTGGCTTTGCCCATTTTTTAACTGAATTCTTTCTTTACTGTTCAGTTCCTTGTATAATCTGGATATAAATCCCTTGTCAGATGGACAGTTTTCATATATTTTCTCCCATTCTATAGGTTGTCTTTTCACTCTGTTAATTGCTTCCTTTGCTGTGCAGAAACTTTTTAGTTTGACATAATCCTATTTGTTTATTTTTTCTTTTGTTGACTGTACTTTTGGGGTCTTATTCATAAAGTCTTTGCCCAGTCCTACAACCTGAAGTGTTTCCCCTGTTTTCTTCTAGGAGTTTTGTAGTTTCAGGTCTTATATTTAAGTCTTTAATCTCATTTTGAGTTGATTTTGGTATATGGTGAGAAATACAGGCCTAGTTTCATTCTTCAACACATGGATGTCTAATTTTCCCAGCACCATTTATGGAAGAGAGTGTCCTTTCCCCAGTGTATGTTCTTGGTGCCTCTGTTGAAGATCAGTTGGTTGTAAGTACATGGATCAATTTCTGGGTTCTCTATTTTGTTCCCCTGGTTGGTCTGTATGTTTTTATGCCAGTACCATGCTGTTTTGGTTACTATAGCTTTGTAGTATAGTTTGAAGTCAGGTAGTTTTAAGATACAAAATCAATACATACAAAACTCAGTAATATTTTACACTCCAACAATAAATTAGTAGAAAAAGAAATCAAGAAAGCAAGCCCATTTATAATAGCCACCAAAAAAAAAAAAAAAAAAAAACACCGAGTAAATTTAACTAAGGAGGTGAAAGCTCTCTACAATGAGAACTACAAATCACTACTGAAAGAAGGCACCAAAAGATGGAAAGATTTTCCATGTTCTTTCCATGGAAGAATTAATGTTACAAAAATGTCTACTACCCAAAGTGATCTACAGATTCAATGCAATCTCTATCAAAATACCAATGACATTCTTCACAGAAATAGAAAAAACAATCCTAACATTCATATGGAACAACAAAAGACCCTGAATAGCCAAAGCAATCCTGAGCAAAATAAAGCCAGAGGCATTACACTACCTGAAAGCAGATAATTTTAATGTTATAACTAGGTGTCTATTTATAAAAATCCCAGTGGAATAAGAACATCTGAAGTGGTGATTAGTATAACAGAGAAATAATTATAATAATTTTAAATATTAGTTTTAAAAACTTCTACAAAATGAAAAGTTCTTTTTATGCATATTCCTAATGTGGTTTTAGATTCAATTAACTAGGCTATTACTGCTCTGTTAGTGTTATCTACACATACATGAGACTATTAAAAGAGAGAGAGAAAGAAAGAACCAAATAAATAATAATACATTGGAATAATAATTATGGAATGGAAATACATACCAATCCATATAGCATTTCATACAGAACAGCACCAAGGCACCACCAATCTACTGTATTATCATAGGGCTGTTTTCTGATTACTTCAGGTGCAAGGTACTATAGAAAAGAATAAAATATTACAGCAACTTAATAACAAGACAAAATTTTGGAATAATTCAGAAATTTAAGAAATTTTAGGTGTTACTATCACACTAAAAACATACTATCTAGATTTCCAATGGGTTGGGTGTTCTCATTCTATACTAGCGGTTCTTAGGCTGTGTCAACTGGGATTTTCAAAATACATATATATTCAAGCATTTCTCCTCAGAAACTGATGGAATTAAGACAAATAGAAGAAGACAGCAAATGTGGAATCTATAATACTCTGTAGGAAATGTAGGTATTCTGTGGGAAAGTCTTCCATTTATTTTAGAAATTCATGTGGTTATTAGCTATAATGTTTTCCCCTTGAAAAAAGAATTGCTTAATGTGGCAATTATACTCCTTTTTTTTTTTCCTTTTCAGTGAAAGAAAAAAGAATGAATTGCATTCTTATTTGTGATTACAGTTAATGTGGCAGTTATAATCCTTTTTTTTTTTTCCTTTTCAGTGAAAGAAAAAAGAATGAATTGCATTCTTATTTGTGATTACAATAGCAATTCTCTAACATATTATTTTAGCTATTTGCATTTTAATTTGTAAAAAATTTAAACTTATCACAATTTTACACATATAAGATGGTGAATTTCAATTCTAGATTCCAAAATATACAGTACTTCTTTCTACATGAAATATATGTAAAGAAATACTTTCCTTTTAAGCTTTTTTATGTGATTCAATGAAATGGTGAAATATATAAAAAGGGTTAATAATTTCTGATCACATTTAGATGATCAAAATTACTTGTGTTTCCTTTCTAAAATCTACAGGACTTAGGTTTGTGTGAGCCATTTTACCATACATATTGGACATTGCATTTGCAAGTACTCCACAATAATGAATGATAAAATGTCACATGGCACCTAAGATTCCTATAAATACACTGAAATTAGGACAGTTTAATGTGTGTATGTAAAGCAAAAATAATAAGACTTTTACATAAATTGTAAGGATTATTGTTGTCACAAATAGACAAATACATTTTCTACTAGCTAACATAATTAGAGAATAGGAAGTTCTGGTTAATAAACTCTGATTCGTGATTTTTTCCCACATCTATTGCTTTATTTTCCTCTGTTAAATAAACAATTTCATTACAAAATATTTCAACCATATAGAAAAATATAGCAGGAAACCAATAAAACTGCCACCCAGATATAGACAATGTTGAGATTTTGCCATAATTGCTGTAGCTCATTTAATTAAAAAAACAGCTTTATTAAGATATTCACATATCATATAATTCACCCATTTAAAGTATACAATTCAATGACTGTTAACATATTCACAGAGTTGTGCAACCATCACCACAATCATTTTAGTTAAAAAAACAGCTTTATTAAGATATTCACATATCATATAATTCACCCATTTAAAGTGTACAATTCAATGACTGTTAACATATTCACAGAGTTGTGCAACCATCACCACAATCATTTTAGGACATTTCAACCACTGATTCATAAATTTTAATGGATTAGAAATATAGTCAAATGCTTAAAGAAATCTAAGGTAAACTTTTAACATTAAAAACAAATAAGCATAATTTATCTTTATTGGACTCTTCAAAAGAGTCTTACAGTATCTCACAATCACAGTTAAAAATCCCAACTACCAATAAATTCTAAATGTTTAGAAGAAATGATTACAAGTTATTTCCAGCTGGCTAGAAGCTGAAATTACAGTTTTTAGTCTACTTTTCTTATATCAAGCTTATATGTGCAATTCGTGATTCATATTTGCATTTTATACATGATTATATGAATAACAAATGAGACATATTTCTTACCTCTGGTGTCCCACAAAATGTTGTGGTGGTGTCAGAAATAGCAATTCCTTCTTTGCAAAGACCAAAATCTGTTAAGACAACATGTCCCTGACAAATACAGGAGCATTTGTAATATAAAATAATGCATGAACATAAATTGACAATTTTAAAACCCTTTTTATTCTGACATAATTATAGACTCACAGTAAATTGCAAAAACAGAGTCTGGTGTACCTCTCACCCAGCTTCCCTCAATGCTGGCATCTTACATAACTGCAGTACAACATCAAACAAGAAATTGACATTGGTACAATACTGTTAACTAGACTACCAACCTTATTCAGTTTTCACTATTTTTTACATGCAGGTGTGTGTGTGT